GGTACAGTTGTACATACAGATCCATAGAATGATTGTCATACTAGCTACATAGTTTTTGACCTTATGAAAGTTTGAGAGGAAGAGTTCAGCTTTCTAATGCACTTAAAATCGAGTGTTTTGAGGCAGATTTGACAAAGTTATAGGTGTTTTCAGAAATCAAAAGTTTCTCTAAACACTAATGAGCCAAATTTCAGTGCTTGTTACAGGTTGTAATTGGATGATTATGAAGGTTTATTGTTAGTACACTTATCAATACGGACTGTAAAAATATGGAAAAATATGGAGAGTGAAGCTCTCACCGCAGGAAACAAGATGCATATTTTTATTTATTTTTTGCCCTTCTCCTGGCCTCTCAATATTTTTGTGTATCAATAATTTAATTTTCTGCCCAGAAAATATTATATTTTGTGTAGTGACAGAGCTTCAACCACCTCCGGACACCGGGACCCTAGTGAATTTGCCGAGAAGAGAATTAAAGTTGAAGGAGACGTTGATGGCATAGGCCGTCCAAAGCCAAAGAAGTATAAGCATGTGTTTTAAAACATACCAGGATAATTAACTGACCTCGGCCTCTTTGCTCATAATTTAGGTTCGTACCAAAGCCGGTAAACGCACCATTCAAGAGCCCAGTTGCTCCAGCTGTGCCTACGGCCGTTACAGGAGCGCCACCTGCCGATTTTCCACAAGCTCCGCCATCGCCCAGCGGCAGTGACTACGTTGGCCCACCTGCAACAAGCACGGGAAGCAAAAAGAGGCCTAACACAGCTGCAACCAAGCCGAGGGCTCAAGCACGCCCTCCGCGAAGGACTTCGAGCAGTTCCACCCTCGACTTGACTACTCAAGAATAAATATTGCTCGATGCAATAACCTTGGTGTATGTTGGATTCATCCGGGAGCAAGGTGAGGGCATGTGGAGGGAATCACTAACACGATCACTCTTTCCTTTCTATTATCAAACCCATGGGCGATTATTTTTAGATTCATCACCAAGCTTCAAAGCCAACATGCTTTTGACATCGTTTTAACCCTATTTCTTGGTTCTCAAATACCAAACAAACGGCGGCTCAATTGTCATCACTTTTTCAATCTGTACCATTGATCAAGGGCGAGGATTATGATTTTTGTACCTTTTTATGCGAAATTGAATATTTATTCCTTATGCTCAGTTCAAACTGTAAGACAAAACTATGCCTACATTTAAGCTTTGATAACGGGCCTGTGATTATTTGTATAGATCTGAGATAGTGATATGATGTTTTGCGGTATCAAGATCCGAAACTGTGCTCTGGCTGTTAAGATACAAACTTGCTCAGCTCACCCGATCTCAAGAATGAAGTTTAGTGCCCGCCATTTATTAGGCTTGCGCGGTGAAAATTTATACATAACGTGGATCTTACTGCGATTTGACCTATGAACTGTGGCACAAAATCAGAAACTATGCAATGGTGGCTATGACAATGCTGCGCGGTATTGCGTAGCAATAAGCTTCTTTTCAACGGCCTAAGTTATTTTTGAGGTATTACTCGGAGCTCAAAGCAAAATTTGAGTTGAGATTTGTGGTTCGGAGGGCAAGGACACAAGCTTGGGCCGCGTCTCTCTCAAGAAGTGTTGCGCGGCACGCAGTAGGAAGAGCTAAGTTTGGTGAAAATATGTGACCAACAAAAACACCGGTGTATTTCAACCTTAGGATCATTGAGCCTCAATTGTCAAGTGCAATGTTGCACGCAAGGCGCTGTGCTCATTCGATTATGAGATGGGATGCTTAAGAGATTGTGTGTGGCAGCAACTGCACCGATCAAAACAAAGGTGCGTATGTAATAGTACTTATGTGGCCAAAACGCATGTCGATCTACTAAACACTTTAGAATCGCGCACAGAGTCATACTGTGACAATGAGGCCATCTTGTGTCAGAATGGTTATGGTAAATGCAGAGTTGGGATGGTTACGGGATAAGGGTTGTCCCGGTGATGTGACCTAAAAAGATGACATCTCAGATACACGATAGTGCTTAATATATCAAGAAACTAATCATCTAACACAAATTGTGGATCCAAAATTCAAATGGTTTACCACAGTTTTCTCAAAGGCGAACGCCTCAAAACGAATTATGAATAAATTTTGCCACTATTCTTGAATTTGAAAAACAACATGAATGCAAAACTTTAGAATTTGTAGTTGCGAGCCCGAGTACCGTTGCTCTCACTACGGCACTGCGAACACATAAGGAAATGAACATGAGGCATGCCGCGTTTCTGATATTCAACGGAAAAGGATACGAAGCGCGGGAGAATCGCGACCTCGGTAGCTTTGGGATGAGCTTTGGAGACCCGGGACTGTACATCTGATGTTAGGGGTTTATCGAGGACTTGAAACCGCGTAAGGTCTGGCTCACAAACTGATTTGATCGGGAGTCTGACAAGATTTCATTTAGAACAATCATAGGGCCCAAGTGTCAAAGACTTTGTCAATTTCAACCTCGGGATTAGACAAAACCAAAGGATTGATTTACCTGAAGGTCCAGGCATCAAACTGAACTACGCGGACCCACACGGCCATAGTGGGTAGAGCAGTTTTTATAAATTGTAATGTGCCTTGGCTAATGATAAGCTCGATACGTAGGTATGGCATGGCTCGTTTGGAAAAGTGTATTGTATATTGGAGCGGTGGTCCGCTGTGCTCTGCCTGGATTTTGGAAAGTTTCGCAACAAGCTCCTTTTGAGAAAAATAGATTGATCTTGCATGGTGTTTAACCAAGGTACTGTGGATAGAATAATCGTAGACTTTGCTTAAAGTTACAAGGTATTTAGATTGAGAAGGCATGGTACGTATAATTTGAAGGGCCGACTGAATGGGTTTTGGGAGGAATGGCTTTTGGGGGGAAGGTGATAAAATGCCGGTTAAGAGCTTGGTTTATATACACTTAGTCAAATAAATCTTTCTTCGTTTGCACATGTAGACCGCGAACAATCTTCGAAACCCGACAAATGATAATCTGGTTACGGCGTCAAGCGATTGCCCAGCAATAGTTAGGGGTTCGTCCAAACGCTTGTCGGCAACAAGTCACAATCTTCATGAGGTCAGGGTTGCAAACTCAAAGCAAGGCTAGAGGCTTGCCCATTCGAAACTCACTCCACCTACCAATCTCGTTCAAATTTGGACTTCTTCAAATAGAAAACGTGAAAGTTCATCGACCCGGCGGGTAAATTTTCGTGCTCAATCATAAGCTCTGTCAATCACCTGGCAATCACAAACCGCGAACTTATGCAAACGCATCATCTCGTCACGTTTCCGTCAGAAATGATGATGTCGCGAGTATAAGCGTAATAGATTCAGAAAAAACAATGCTCGGCTCGTTGCTGCCGCTCGGAAACGTGTCATGTACCTTTGCGACTGGCTTGATACAAATGCTTAAAAATTATACATAATGCTCAAGCATATCGGATGATGCGATTCCCAAAAATCGGCGAAGTGTGAGCCTGCCCCCGATAGCATTCGGTACGGCTTCAACTTTGAGACATCAGCAGAACAAGAGTTTTGCATGCTCAAATACATTCATCTTCGGCATTTTCGCCAAACTAATCGTACAATATGTTTCGCATAAATATATGCGTGAATAGGGCACGCTTAGCTGCTCGAGCTGCACAATAATTTGGATTGTGATGCGATGAACCCAAAACCCAAGGTTAAGCAGTAGATTTTGCTTGCTAACTATCAGAAAAGGAATTAATTTGAAATTGTCGAGACAATTTAACTCAAACTTCTTAAGGACAATACGACATCCTAGAAACAGTCGGTACGAGTCCTGCTCAAACTATGTACGCAAGGAGATACATATTCGGGACATCCTTTCGATGCACATGCGAGCTTGGGCAAATCTTGGCAGACGAGGGTACGACACCATGAATAATAAGGCCGAGTAGGATTATTACACCCATCCATGCTCAAGTCCACAAGCATCAGGTTGTCAAATAACAAATATCTCATATTCATTCTCAATTACTACTCGCCTGCTCGGACAGGGCTCAACTAAGAGCTTGAAACCAGGTTTGAGCAAGCTACCTTGATCCGATCACTATACCAAGGTTGATTTTCACTCTGCTTCTTAGGTGGTAATCCTTTTTAACACAGTAGAATCGATATGCCTCGAGGTGCTATGCGGCGACAAAACCATGGCCTTGCGATTCGGGCCGTAGAATTCGGTTCGGAGGCTAACTTACTCCACCATTTTCGCGGCGAGATACCGTTTTGTCTTGGGCCTATGAATGACCAATGCAGCGAGTGTGGTGCGTTTAGATGGAGGGCTGAACGTAGGGTTAAAGATTCGAATGCATTAACTGCTACATTTCGTAATTGTTGCAACCATGGACAAGTTGATCTGCCTTTGAAGTATTTTCCTGACGATATTGGGGAGCAGATCCCGGATTTTTACAAGGAACCGCTAAAAGGCGATGACCAGAGTAAGTCTTGCATTTAAAGCCTTTGCTTTAGTAAATGTGGACCGACCGAAATTTTGTAGGGTGCCGAGACTTTTGCGAAGACATCCAAAAATACAACAACGCTTTCTCTTTCACCTCTCTTGGAGCGCAAGTTGATGGCTCAGTGCTGGGCCAACGGGGCCACTCTATCTTTCGAATTAATGGTCAAATGTTCCATCTAATAGGTTCTTTGATGCCGATGCCTGAGAATCACCCGGGTTTTGCACAAATTTACATTTACGGAGGTGGGGGTGAACGCGAAGCTTCGTTGCGTATCGAACGTGCGCGGGTGCCTAGGCTTCAAAGCGACATAATGCTTCAGTTTCAAGAGTTCATGTATGAACACAATCCCTACGCTCAAACATTCAGATCAGCTGCAGCCATTTGCGACTCCATCGGGCCTGTGCAGACACTTCGAATCAACACAGTGACTGTGCCCGGGACTGATCACAGGAGATACAACCGTCCGACAGCCAACGAAGTTGCTGCGATAATTGACGGGAATGGCGAAATTGGGCGGCATGGACGTGACATCATTCTGCGAAGACAATCCGGATTAATCGAACCGATTTCAGAGTTGCATACGGCTTACTTTGCACTCCGATATCCATTGTTATTCCTCTATGGGTCTCAATTATGGCACGACTCATACACAAACCCAACAGAAGAAAGTGGGTGATTCCGTTTTGCATACTCAGATATACAAATTCCGACCTGTGTTATGATAGACCCAGAAGGATCAGTGACTTGCCTCAAGTGGTTCGCATACCTTTTATTCAAACGCCCAGCATATTCCGTGATCCTAGCATCAGGCTTTCTATTTCAGGAGTTCGCCGTGGACATGTACGTCTGCGTTGAACATGCTCAATTAAACTTTATTCGCTTCCATCAAAAGGAGCTTAGGGCTGAACTATACAATGGTTTGGTCGAAGCGCTTGGCAACGAGGTAGAGGATGAAGTCGTAGGCCGAAGGATTGTTTTACCCTCAACCTTCGTAGGTGGGCCCCGAAATATGCAAGCGCTTTACCAGGACGCCATGAGTCTGGTCGCAGAATACAGTCATCCTAGCTTGTTTATCACAATGACAGCTAATCCACAGTGGAATGAAATCACCGAGGCTTTGGAAGACCATCAAATTCCAGAGGATCACCCTGATCTCGTCGCCCGAGCATTCCATTTACGATTCCACGCTTTACTCAGTGACGTTACAAAATGGGGACGACTCGGAAAATTCAAAGCTTACGTTTACTCAATCGAATTTCAAAAGAGGGGTCTACCTCATGCCCACTTAATCTTGTTTTTGGACCCGGCGTCTCGGCCAACAACCCCAGACATGGTTGATTGTTTAATCTCAGCGCAGCTTCCAGACCCTGAGATGGAGCCAGACTTGTTTTGCCTTGTGGGACACCATATGATGCATGGGCCTTGTCAAAATTACAAATGCTGGAATGGGAGGGAGTGCCAAATTGGCTACCCCAAACCCTTTTGCGAAAGCACTACTCTGCCAGATAATCAATATCCAACTTACAAACGCCCCAACGATGGAAGATATTGTATAAATGCAGGGCACCGCTTTGACAACGGCAGTGTGGTACCTTATAATCGTTTCTTGTTGCTAAAATATCAGTGCCATATGAATGTCGAAGTAGCAGCAAGCATCCGAGCTGTAAAATATTTGTTCAAATATATCTTGAAGGGTCATGATCGTACCATGGCAAGAGTGGAAGAACAAAGCAATAAAGATGAGGTTTTAGCTTTTCTCAACGCGCGTTTTCTCAGCGCGCCAGAGGGTAAGTTCTCAAATCTTTTTGTCTCGTACTGTAGCTGATTCATTGCTTGCCAGCTGTGTGGAGGCTTCTGCAATATGAGATCCCGGGCCAATACCCGGCAATTCAAAGGCTTAATCTACATCTGGAGGATGCCCAAACGGTTTATTATCTTGATGAAGCTGGGCTTCGTAGGGCATTAGACACGGGCCGCGCCCAAAGAACAACTTTAACTGAATATTTCAGGCTGTGTCGCGAAAATTGCAGGCTTCCAAGATCACAGGAAACAATAAGATCAATAAAATATCAAGACGTGCCTAAGCATTTTAGATGGGTTAAAGAAACGAAAAGATTACAAGCAAGGAAAAACAAACTCGAATTGATAGGTCGAATTTACTATGCCGGTGTCAGACGCGGTGACATTTATTATCTACGCCTTTTGTTACAGCACGTCGCGGGACCAACCTCGTTTAAATCGCTCAGAACTGTTAACGGGATCGTGTACAATACCTTTCGTGAGGCGGCGGACCAGCATGGCCTGCTTCTGAACAACAGGCATTATCACGAATCAATTATCGAGGCGGCGGTTTGGAAGACAGGACACCAACTGAGGCAGATGTTGGCTATTATCCTGTGCCATAGTGCGCCATCAGATCCAATGCACCTTTGGTCGGAGCATATCGAGGCTCTTTCAGATGACTGCGAACACAAGATCTCAAGATTGAACCCTCGAGCTCGGCCCAGCCTCGAGCATATTCAAAATTATGCCCTACACTTGCTGGAAAAAACACATTTCGGCATGGAGAGTGATCTAGAATCTGTGGGACTCATGCCTGTAGATAGACATCTAATGCTGGAGCTTAATTTACCAGACGGGGAAGGCATCAACACGACGTTTGCTGTTCAACCAAGCAAGATCAGGACCAAATACGAGAACATGTCGCGTCAACTTACAAATGAACAACAACGCGTGGTAGAATGCGTGATTGAAGCTATCCAGGGCAACGAGGCGCGTATGGTTTTCCTTGACGGGCCTGGTGGTACGGGAAAGACTTTCGTGCTCAATACCATACTTCACTTTTGCAATGGTAACGAATTACCCTTCGAGGCCGTTTCAGCTGCCGGGATCGCATCGCTTCTTTTACTAAATGGCCGCACTGCACACAGCGCCTTCAAAATCCCAATCCCCATCTTCAAAGACTCTGTGTGTCCCATATCGCCTAATACCAAGATAGGGCGTATGCTCCGAGCTGTTTGCTTTGTGGTGTGGGATGAGGTTGCAATGCAACATCGACACGCAGTCGAGAGCGTTGACAGGACTCTGCGTGACTTAACAGGGATAGACCTGCCCTTCGGCGGAAAGGTTATCTTATTCGCAGGTAATTAAGAACTGCATGAGTTTATGCAAAACATGGTCTATTTAAAATCATACTAATATTGTGGAACGCGTTGCAGGTGATTTTTGTCAGACATTACCTATAGTGCAAAGGGGCAATTTATTTAGTCAAGCTAATGCCACGCTCAAGGCTTCTTACCTGTGGGCAGACATACAAAAGTTCAAGCTAACAGTCAATATACGTCTTGGGGGATTGGAATATCGTCAGAATCCGATGAATGTGAACTTTTCGAAATGGTTACTCGACTTAGGTTCAGGTGCTTTGCAAGAGGATTATGTATGTCCGGCGTCAATCATGTACTGCAACGTTTCTATATCGCGGCCTCCAACAATATTCGAACCCGAGATAGTTGAGGAAGAATATAATGGAGTCATTGAACTGGTCAACGCTAGCGACTGGAATACATTGACCAATTTGTACGCATCTCACTGCTTAATAACCCCGCTCAATGCTACAGTGCGAGCTGTGAACAAGCACGTTATGGATTTACTGCCGGGAAGGCTGCGGACCTCAGTATCGACCGACACGATGGATGATAGCTTCTACGAAGGAGTCTCGGCCGACATATTGAATTCTTTCAACTTCCCCGGGTTCCCATCTCACATCCTCAAGTTAAAAGTTGGCGCAACAGTTATGGTACTACGTAATTTAAATTTAGGTGATGGACTATGCAATGGCACACGCCTTTTAATTACGGATTGGCAAGAACATGCACTACAGTGCAGAATCCTAACAGGGGAGAGGAAAGGAAATGCAATCAGTTTACCAAAAATATTACTTTCACATAGGGGGGACGACGATTGCCCGATCCCTTTCAATTGATATCAGTTTCCCATTGCGCCAGCTTTTTGCATGACAATCAACAAAAGCCAAGGTCAGAGCTTAGACAAGGTGACAGTCTTACTACCTGAACCGGTCTTTGCACATGGTCAGTTGTATGTTGCCCTATCTAGGTGTACCAATGCGTCCAATGTTCATGTGTGCATAACCTCAATGTCAGAAGATTTGGTAACTCCAAACATTGTGTATCACCCCGTTCTCATGGATTGAATCATGAATGCCTCACACGCAAAACTCGGCTTGGGCAATGTTTTGGCTCGAGTTCGTGTCATAATGCATTAATTTTAGAATGAGTCGCGCGACCCAGTGTTATTAGCATGGTCATTGAACCAAGTTGAGTACTCATATGTCAAAGTAAAAAATTTGTATGCGGGTTCAAGCCTTTGGCTAAATTTCAATGTTGTTGTAATTATTTCGTAGTAAATGCCTTTCCAAAAGATGAACCATGTAACCGCGTGAAACTTTTTGTTTGATTATTGTTTTTATGATTTCGTAATATGATCAATATGCAACTCACAAAGATCAGATGCATCCAGTTTATAGGACGGAAATGGGTGGCAGGCACATATTCCTTTGCCATTGGTTTAAAACCTTGCTCATAACCAAACGAGGAAGCACTTTTGTACCATTTTCATGTCAACGCCACCGTCCTAGCGATCCTTGGACATTTGCAGTTGGGACGCCAATCGTGCCGGCACATAGATAAACAACGTGGCCTGAGTTAAATGTAATTTGTCACAGACTCAATTTGATAATGGCCCATTTGATCATGTGCGATTCATGTTCTAATCTACCCATAAAGGATACGAAACTAACTCGGGAACCGCGTGTCGGTCGGTCGCAGAGACACCGTGGTCTAGGTGACAGAATTTAGCGACGAAAGCATGAAGAGAGATGAACATGCACAGCCCTTCTCCTCAGTTGTGCATGTATGTTTCCTATTGAGATCTTCCCTCGGAGAGATCGAGTGCCATACGCATGCTGCCTGCGATAGATAAACAAAGCATTGGTTGAAATCGGGATCGGAGTCGTCATCGGTGCCTATCCCAATGTCAAAAGATGCTGGGCAACTAAACTCGCCACGGGGCAAATAAAATAGGTAAGTTGAGCTCGTCGATCAGAAGTGCGTCTTCAACAGCCGCATCATAGCTTACCCAGCATTTTGGCTTTTGTATTGTTTTACAGTAGTACGAATCAGTATGTTTCCAAATAACTTATCAACTCAAGCGATTACAAGCATCGGGCAACTACCGGTAGAAGTCATCGAGTTGATCATCGAACATTACATCGGCAGCACAGGAGTTTTGGAGCCCAACCCTTTGAATAGTGCGAGCAAATCATATTTGCATCCAGAGACTTCGCGGGACTTGCTCGCCTTACGCTTGTTATCAAAATCCTGGAGCGCAGCTATTGTACCTTTTGTGTATAAGGCTTTATATCTGAACACGGCGAGAAAGTCTGGGATTTTATTAGGATCTTCGAGCAACACGTCCCAGTTCAGTACTTTTCACGCTTTACGGCGCATTTGTTTCGGCGGGCTTTTATTTTCATCGGACTATCCCACTGGTCATTGCGCAAACACGTCCTGCAGCCACGAAAATAGCCACACTCACTCGGCGAGGCTCTTGCTCAATCCTTCGCCAATCGCAATGGATTCGGCGGCAAAAATCATTAAGTTGTGTAATCAGAATTTGATAGAATTCAAACTCAAGTTCGTACATTCAGTCGGTTTCTCCCAAGATATGTTAGACGCCATTAGCAGTGTTAAAGGTCTCAAGGTACTAGGAATTGTCGGCAGCAAATCCGGTCATAACCTCAACGACTCTACCTCTGTCCAAGCTATGCTTAACTCAACCTTCGGATTGGAGTCACTATCAATCCAGTGCAGCTCGCTGGGGTCCTTAAGCTTAGACGTTGGAGCCCTGCCCAATCTAACACATCTTTGCTTAGTGACTAACCCGGATAACATTTTGGCTTTCACTGAGTTATGCGCCGCAGAGGGAAGGAAAATTAGGTTCCTCGAGCTCATAAGCCCAGGAGCTCGTGATCAATGCAGTCGGATCATAATGGCCCTAAAGGAATCACTCGAAGCCATTTTCATTGATCCTATCCCAGGTCGAATTCCTAGAGGTGTTATTAACTTGAATTTTAATAACCTTCGAGTAGTACGTTGCATAACGTGTATTTCCTCGCCATCAGGATACGCCTGGTTACAGAAACCGATTTTCAAAAACATGGAGGTGCTTATCATCAGCTATTGGCATGCGAATACTTATTGGAAACGGCTTTTAGAATTACTTCAACAACGCCCGATCACATTACCATCAAAATTCAAGCGGATCGTGCTCGTAAATTCTAAAGGTCAAAAATTGGCAGACACTGAAATGGTTGATGCTTTCAAAACCCATGGGATCAAGTGTATCTTTACTTGTCACCTATCCTACAAAGAAGTCATAGCGCGTACAACTCCATCCTCTTGCATTAATTGTTAAACCACTAATGGCTCCTTTGATTGCTCTTGAAAAACAGGACTTGGCGAATGGGGATGGGGATTATGGTGACAAGGATGTGAGATATGGGTCCGCCTATAAAAATGTGGCAACACGCAGAGCCTGCAATTTACTGGATTTGTCATTGGGTAACTGACTTGGGCGATGTTTCGCGATCAGGTACAGTCGGTAGATTGAAATGGAGAAATTTGGAACGAGATTGCAGATAAAGATCGGCTGATACAAAATCAAACGTATGTAGATTTTCGGATATAGATTGTTGAAAATCGCCGATTTAATGATGAGTTTTTTTGTGGATTGAACGCGTAGGACGAGCAGCTCGGATTAAAAAGTTAACATTTCTGTGGAGTAACAACGAGCCAAGCATAGCAAGCATTTGTGATACCGTAGATTTTGACTTGCTCTGCCCTGAAAACAGACTTCGAGATAATTCCTGTTTTAGTTTACCGCCTCATGCCCGTCACAACCTTAGAGGTACCACCCACGTATAAAATGTTGTTTGTGAGAGGATGGCGATAAGTAAGAATGTATATCAATGTTATAATGGCTGAGACTAAATGGTAAATGCGTGTGCATTGCGCTCATATTTGGGCAATCAAAGTTTGAATGATTAAAAGAGGTAAAGGGTTTCTGACTGAACCAGGTTAAGATATAAGATATCTTAGAGGCAGTTCTATATGTGAACTTTGTTCATTTCAGATTTGCCTGGAGAGGCCTTGAGAGCGAAAGCTCAGCCCTCAGTGACTTGGTCGAATCTTACGATTAACAACATGCCCTTCCAATCGAAGCAAGTCGAAGAAAAGGACGACTCTGCGTGGTTTGACCGCCTGTCTCCCCGTGATCAATATAAACTTCGCCCGTTAAAAATTGGGCCTATGGCACACCCGCTGATCCATGCTGGATACGACCAGTGCTTCGATTGCGGCAACTTTGGGCATCTTCGAGACCGCGGTGACGGGTGCACCAGCAAGGTCAAAAAGGCTCCACCTTTTTGGACTTGGCGACGAGTAATTACAGGCAAAGATTATAGCATGAGCATGCTTGAGATGACGCCAGAGAGGTTGGCCAAGGCACGGAACGAAGTGATCGCGATGGAAGGAACTCCAGGTTAGTTTGGTTTCAATGCATGACAGCGAATCTTGTATATTGATTTAAAGAACATATTCCTGTAGAATACATCAGCTCCGACTTCGACGTGTTGACACCTTGGGTCTTCACCGAACAAGACATAGCTAGGCTCGACGCCGACGAGTCTTTTAGTATGTATTGCGTTTGCAATGTGAATTTGTGGCTCAGCGGTTGACCACTTTGCGCACGCACATTTAGGAAGCAAGACTAAACAATCAGCCGATCGCAGCCTCGCGGGTCAATCGTCGAGCGTGGCGTCTGGACAAAAGCAAGACGCGTCGAAAAGGGGGCTTGAGAACGATGACTCCGGGCTCATGCACAGCTGCAGTCGAAGAAAGGTATCAGGTAAGTTTAGGTATTCAAATAAAATCGGAGTATAGTGGTCTAAGCTTCAACTTATTTTTGGCTTGAATACGAAGGCAAGCCCGACGTTAATCTGGAATAGAAAGCTTCAGTCATGCAAAGCGACGTGATTATGGTGATATTAGATTATGTTTAGCTTGAATTCACTTGAATTGCAAGGAGTCAGTCCGAGGACAATCTCTGCGATTATTGCACCGTGGCTAGCTGCGGACATGTTTCATTCGGGAGTTGATAGTGTACAGGATCATGAATAACAATATGTCTTCAAGCAAATGACGCGCCTTGTTTATCAAGGGCAGCAGTTGATTTGGGGGATGTGGAACTTAGCAAGATTTGAGCTTGATCTCGCTGTTGTATTAGAACAACCTGGAATGAATGTATTGAATTGTTGACTTAATGTAATAAAATTGTGCATAATGATTAAAAATACGAAAGAATAGGAATAGTCAAGCCTCAACCAAAATAAGTGCACAGTAATGCGTTTATCACCGTTTGGGTTATCAAAAAAGGTTGTTGTGCTCATGCACAAATCAGCAAAGAGTTGCATGAGCAAAAAATGTTAAATTCTGAACAATTCGAAACATGTACGTCAATAAATAATGGACCACGAAGCATTAAACACGTCGCAGATTTGTTTTTGTAAACTTTGGTAGTTTCACTAGCGTTGGGTTTGGCGCTCGGCGGAGCTTTGAATCACAAGTCAAGTCTTAAAAGTCTATTTTTTTTTTCACTACGACAAATGATACGCTAATGTGATTGAGAAAAACCACCAAGTCTACTTGGTCTCTCAGAACTTTGCATCTACCTTCATTGCTTGTTGCCGGCTTGAATTCATTGCCAAAACTCCGAAATCTACAGTGAGCAAATTATCACTGGGTTCTTTAATTGATTTCTGTTTCAGGAAGAATATAAACCCAAAGGTGAATAAAGATAAGTATTGATAATAAAGTCAGGGTCAAGGACTGACCAGAATTTGAGAATAGCTAAGTTGGGTTTCGAAACGGCACTTGATACGTCGACGGTTCAGAAATCCTGCCAAGGCCTCATCGTTCACAGAATGGTTGTCTTCAGTCAAGAAGATAAATTGGCTCAATTTTTTTGGGAATTCTAGCCCATCATACTGCTCAAACTTGTCGCGCCAATAGTGTGCCGTCTCAGAATAACATGTAATATATATTTCTACTTCTCGGAAAATGGCCCATCCCAACCATTGTGGGTAATCATGGCGTGGGTTGATGAACATGTTCTTCAAGATCCTCAAGTTTGGGAATGAACTGTTCCGGAGCTCAAGTGGGATGTCGTCCGGCATCATAATAACAGAGATAGCTTCGAGTGTATCCTGGAGCGCTAAAAGCATAGGCGTCTCGTCGTTTGCATAATCTTTTGGTTGATACTCAAGCAATTTGATTGAACTTTTGCGACGTTGACAGAAATGAACTATCGCCCTGTGATTTGAAACATGGCAATCTACGCACAGATGGATTAAATTAGGTAAAGCTCCCGGGTCCAGAGACAAAGATGTTAAAGTTGCAAATAAGATTCCAGCGCATAAGTGGCGTTCAACACGGCTATGAAAGAATCCAAATCATTCATGTTGTTATGAGACGACAGGCTTTCAACGATTAAAACTTTCAATGATGTTACGCGCTTAATCGCTTCTACAAGATTGTTCGAGAATCCAACGGCGTCCGTGAAACAAATTTTGAGATCGGTTAAGGTGCTTCCGCACAAACTGATGATATTGGCTGCATCTTTCATTCGAATCAAGTTATTGGTAGAGTCCTGATGCTCGAAGTCGGGTTTCGTCAAATTGTTGTCTGTGATTTTGCCGAAGTAGGAACCAGACCAGCTTTCAGGTAGATACGTGATCCCATTTAAAAAGAGGCGTTTCAAATGGATCGTGCTCGATAGTTTCACACTACTTCCCAATACAAAACTTATGCATCTATGTGTTCGGGAAGACCTCAGTTCCAAGGCGTTGAACACGAATTTTGGAATAAGCCTTGCCCAGACCTTTCCTAATAATCGTAATCGTAGTAAGCATGTAACAGAATTTTGATTTAAAAACAGAGTATCTGCGCTATTAGAGGCATCAAGCGGTGAATATTTGGCCATGTCAAAGAGATAAGTCATAATATGCTCTACTATTTCGACTGGTAAGTGAGACATTTGTGCCATGATTTCGTTGTGTATCGATTCAACGATTTGAACTGAGCGTATTGTTTTGTTTGGGTTAATGATTGGTAAACAATATCGGGCACGTTTCATTCTCAATGAAAGCAATGTCATTCCTGGGGTATATCTGCGTTGTTGACGCGCTTGGCCAGGATGGGGACTTTGTCCGCCCGTTTGGATTGGGGTTGGATCATCTTGCTCATGCAGAGGATTTCCGGCGTGATACTTAGGTGTGACGTATAGGAAATTGTTGTCAAATCACGCTTGGAATTGAGGCTAACCCGGCGCACGTTACGATAAAAACCATTTATTGTTCCGGGTATCATCTCTACACCAAATGCCACTGGGGTAGGAATTGGCATTGGAGTACGGGACTCAAGCAGACTAGAGCAGACAAAGATGCTCATATGCCTTGTTTGGGCTGCGTGATGCCACAATCGACGATGCCTTTCTCAACAACGCCGGTAAATTTGAATTTGTTTCATTTTTACGACTCGGTCGAAAAGACGGCAAGTGTGGGGACGCATAGTTGAGGCTTTGGATAAATGCCTGGGACGATACCACACTTTGCAGATTGCTGCTTATACGCATTAAGTTTACTCGTCGATACGAACTTCTCGGAAACCATTTGGCTCATGCTGCTGTGACACCTACAAGCTTACTTTTGGGGATACAATGATACTCTGCTTTTTATCACGAGCAGCTAAGATTTGTTTTAATGTCATGATGATATAGGCATACGAAGGTTTTTGGGTAAGGGCCCGTGAATCTTGGAGTGAGCCACAAATCTAAAAGAGAATGCTATTGCTTTACGCTCTAATATGTCGTATCAAGTGTTGCAACGAAAGTATTGGATACACTGTCAATTACCTCTATCATTTTTAAAATTCAATGATGTTATATTTAAGCGATGAGTAGGAATTGTGAGCGGTGAACGCTGATTGGCCGCAAGATTGGCTGAATACTGAGCAACAGGCTTTGTGCAACGGTTGCACACGGTGCTTAAAGCCCATGAGTAACTCGTTAAAGTTTAAGTGATTCGACTTGCTTGGAGCAGATCTCGTTAGCGATCATGTTGGCACATGAAAACTGGAGGCGTATTGCAGGTTGAAAAGCTTGGTTGAGTACGCGGCGAACCTTGAATAAAGGCAGATGATCCACGCTCAGCGCGATTGATCGCCACATAGTTTCAGGCGATATGGGAACAGATTTCAATGACTCTTCTCAAGGCGATCAGTGGAAGAACGAAGCTTTCGTTAAGATAATAAGTTGTTATCCTGGATATGCAATTCCTAATTGCTCTTCTTATAACATAGTGCTTGAAGCGTTGGTAGGATTGAAACGATTGCGTGGAATACGCGGCAATCGTCAGATGAAATGAGCAGGCTCGCGTCCTCGAGCAAATAACCACACCACAGTAGCATGAATATGTAAACACAAGATTCACATCTCATATAAAAAGGTTAATCAGAACAGGATAACATATACACTCCAATATAGACGTTTGAATATCATATAAATATATATATATATCTGCCAAGGTACATTAGGATCAAAGAATTAAAATCAAAGAACAGTTGATGAAGACCCAAGATCGGACATGGCCCATATTCATTGCCTTCCTTTAGAAGTTGTTTATTTTATTTTATTTTACTTCGTTAAAGACTTTGAAGAGACCTGGAAGAATTCTAGGAATAGTGCCGAACAGGCTCCTGTGCCAGACCATCTATTATTGGAACTGTTAAACTTACGATTGCTTGGAAAGTCTTGGGCGTTACGGGTCTTGCCATACGCTTATCAAAACTTACACTTTAGCTCGGCATTGAAAATGAACTCTTTCGTTGAGACTTGGAATAACTCGGCGACAATCTCGACCATGGCTCGATTGAGCCGCCTTAGCTTCGATCAGATTACTTGCCCAGATTTGGATTGTGAATTCGGGTCGGATCGAGTCAACATAGGTTTGCTTGCATCTTACCGGATTGATTTCGAAAAGGATAACTTCAATTATAAATCGATTACACTAGAGGACATTGAAGAAATTATCAAATTTTGTGGTCAAACCTTAGCAGGCTTAAAGTTTTCGTTCAAAGCGGGTGCGGGATTTACGCCCAATATCATTGAGTTGATAAAAGAGGTTAAAGGTCTAAGAGTGTTGATCATCGAGGCAAATCCCTACGGGGTAAGGCAGAATCACTTGAAATCGATCCGGGCTTTACTCAATGTTACGGCTGGGCTTGAATTGTTATTGCTTGACATTGGATCTATCGGAACTCTGGACTTAAGTGAAGAAGCGTTACCTCGCTTGAAGCACTTGTCAGCCGCATGCGATACAAACGACCTGGGAGCGATTACGGAGCTTTGCGAAACTCGTGGTCGGAACATCAGTTGCTTAGAGTACCTTACCCATCCCGACTGCGACCGAGCTGCAAAAGTTATTTTGGCTCTGCAAAATTCACTTGAGGTCTTATTCATAGAGTCAATTCCGAATCTTGTTCCGGCGGAGATAAGCGATTGGCATTTCCCAAAATTAAAAATTATACGGAGTATCAACTCGACAATAGAAAGTCCCAGTTTAGCTTGGCTACAATTAGGATTTGTAAAGAATATGCGAATTTACGTCACTGACTATTGGAGTTCTAAAAAATATTGGCGCAAAGGCCTGAAGGCACTTAAAGGCAAAGAACACTGTAAACATCATTCAACTTCCCCAATTTGGCAGAGGAAAATGATTAATAGTACAGTTTTTCATAAAAGAATCTAATACTGCACACCTGGGCCATTTCACCCACACTACATATGTGCAGCAAGCTAAGTCAATAGTTGTCTATCATGTACATACAGGTCTGCTCAGTTTTTTGCCCATCAGAATAAATAAATCACATGTTATACCACATGTAACTTTTTCGACTTTGAATTTTTTTTCCCAAAAATTCACTACATATAATTCTGTAGCTGCTCAGGCAATATTGTTGAAGCTATGTCTTAGTAACAGAAAGTGTGTTACATGCAGTTGAGTTGATGAGATCACACCAAAACATTGAGTCAGTGTATGTAGTCAATCTTTTGGAAGCTTTTTTCAATCTGAAAGAAGTTACAGCATGTATTACATATGAATAACTTGTCCTGATGAGCAGATAACTGAGCAGAACTGTATGTACATGATAACCACATATTCACTGAGCCTGCTACACATATGTAGTGTGGGTGTTATGGCTCAGGTGTGGAGTGATAGACCATTTTATGACAAATCATACTCCCAATCATTTTTCCCTGCCCACTTGGGGAACCCGAATAATGTCTGCAGTGGAACTCAAGAGACCTGTTGGGTTCGACAACATCGTTTTTATCACGGGGAAGGAACAGGACTTAGAGGAAAACAAGGAGCTAAAAAGGATTTTTGGTTATCATCAAATCCGTTGCCATTTCATACAGCAATTAGATTATGTTGAGTTGGAGGTAAATGATTTCGAAATTGAAAGAGAGGAAACTTTACTTTTGCTGACTTGGAACGGAATACGTGACAGGCCTTAACAAACGACAATAGCGTGGAAGCCAACCAAGTACAAAGTAAACTGGCTTGAAGGTGAATGTGATCTGAGAGTTAGGGAAAAGGGATGTTGTGTTCGCTGACTTATGAACATCATCATGGCAGGCTTTGATTGACAGAAAACGTTTAAGTCGAACAATTGCGAAGGCCGATTGGGATCACGGTATCTGGGATTTGACTGGTGTGCGTGGTATACGAGAAACCGATCATGCTTTATGTGCGCGTTGGTACCGTGACCTTAACCAAGAATGACTGCCGAGAAGATGGTTCTTAAAATTGAATAAGAAATCCAGCCGATGAATATGTTGATGTAATTAGTTCAATGTTTGATTAAAAGTGACGCTTACTCTTGATGCATTTTGATAATTGAGGTGCTTCTCATTTGCGCTGGGATCTTATGCAAGGAGCTGGCTTAAAAAGATTGTGCCCACATGAATTGTTTTCTTCGTAAAATTTATGTATAATGACGAAAGGCGTTGCACAAGGGAATTTTGGCAAGACGGATGTTCACGCAGCGAAATGCATTGTGAGAGCATGAATGTCTTGGTCACAAGCATAACCTGTACGACTTTAAAGTACGTCATTATGAGCACGTTGGCCTGGAATGATGCGTAGCGTAGGCGCAGGTATACTCGCATGTAAGCTGATGTAGGGATGCACTGCCCATGGAGTTCAAGGCGGCGCCCGCCGCTGAGAATGCTAGTGGAGAACAAAAGACCATTTTGGAAATAGAGTCTAAGATGAAGAAGTGAAGGATGAGATTTATAACAAGTCTATGCCAATAGGGAGCTTTGAAATTCAGTTTGATTGACCTATCCAGCTCCCACACAAAACAATTTGTGTCTACCTTTGTGCGTTGTTTGACATTGGCTAGTGCATTACATTTTGTTTGCTATTAATCACTTTTTGGTTGCTATCATTGCCATTCTTGCCATTTGGGATCTTGAGTGTTAACATGCTTCCTATCAGAATATCAATCAATGAGGCAACAGCTTTAGCACATGCATGATAGAAAAGTAAATCTCACGCACTCTAGCTCCTTTATATGACCTTCATCTTGAGAGTTTGGCAGTGAATAATGGGTGGATACATGAGTATTCATTAGAGCTCTGGTTTGTAATTCCGAAATATTGGAAGAAGTTATACCTTTGACGTCTTTCTGATATTGAGAACTCCCTTGACCAGCATCTTTGATAGCTTTTGGCTTAGTTGTGCCATCGTATTTTTGGACTTTGTATACCCCATTGTCCCTTACTAATTTGAAACTATTGGACTTTTCAAACCTCGGACTCTGATTGGTTGAAGGGGCTAAGGTAAGAAGGAATGCACCAAGACATAAACCTTTGAAAATATTGATGAGCATCATGATGGATGAAGTAAGTAACTTTTCGCGGAATCTTGGATGTGAGACTGGCGAGAAAATTCCAGGCCCAGACCCCATTCCATAGATGTTTAAATCCATTGAAATACAATACCCTTGAGACCTGAGGTCCATTCAAATTGATTTCTCTGTAACTTTGCAGCCAGATAAGAGCGAGTTCCGCAGCCGACTTTTCTCATGTAATTGGTGAACTCGAAACTCATGGTATTCATACGCTTGCCGATAAGTGAGCGCTTTATTACTCGTCTGGAGGAGCCTGCCGATGTGGTCTCTGACCGGCACGACTCATAATAAATTTCGGCTAAAAGCGCCGAACGCATTAAAGCCTGTGGAGACCGGGGGTCGCGAGCCGAGACTGAGGATGATGGTAGCCGTGGGCATTTTGCCGTGTTTTTTTTTATATCCGAATCCTAGGTTTACATCAAGAAAACTCTACTACAACACTAAGACTCACTTGACCGCGGAATTAGCCAATGTGTGTCCTGCCCCCGGAAAAAGGATGTGATGTTCCTTGTCAAATGCTTTCGGGCTTTAAACATCTGATCATGACTGCAAAGGTCCACTCATATTCTCTAATTCTAAATCAGTGGAACAGTAATCAAACTTAGTATCCACTGAGGTGATCTTTGGTTTTGGTAAATCTCACAATGATTCTGTGTATCGCTTTCAGGGATCTACAATCTCTCTGACAAAAGACAATATTCAAAGTCACCGGATGACATCGAGGTCAGAGAAGATCAAGGGTGAGGCTTGCTCTCTCTCTGATTTGGGCGAGTGCTCTATGAGCGCTGTCTTTATGAATTTCACCTGTTACCACATCCATAAGCTTTACTTTGCCCTCCATGGTCTGATGCTCTTGAACATGAGGGGAAACAAATTAAACCAATTAAGTGTACATTTGAAGCAGAAAAACACTATTATGAATCAGATCTCCTTGTGCAGGCGATTAGCCGCGATGACAGAGATCCAAAACCTCAGTGGCAATGATTTGTCAATAATGAGCGCAAACACACATTTATCGAGCCCCACTCAAAACCATCAACCTCTGCATTTTCTACCATTGTTGACTGTCTCCAGTGTCTGGTGTTGACTCTCCATAGCCTTTGGGGCAGTAAGGCATTAGGGGCACATCACTTTCCCTGTAAAAACTTCAATCAGTTGAGCAACAGAATTGAATGATGCTCGATGAAAAAGTGAATCTCACACACATTGAGTCTTGGTTTTTGGGAGCATTTCTATGAACAAGACCAATCACTTGTTTAAGAGAATTGAACATGCAGAATAAAAAAGTAAATCTTACACACATCCCATCAGAATACGAGTTCCAAGTTGCGGCCCCAGGGTTGAGATGTTCTCTACGAGATACACAATCAGTTGCTCAGCCAAATTGAAAAATGTGAAATAAACAGGTATATATCACACACTCCAAATGAGCAATCGGTGAGTCGAGTTGTGATTGTTCCAATGGTTCATGATTTTCACCCGGGTAATTTACACTTGCAGAGCTTAGGCTTGGGGTTCTTTCATATGCGCTGGAAACTTCTCCGACCTGCGAGTTATCCTCGTGGGCTGCGAGGCTCAGTAGAGGTGTTTCCCTTGTTGAGAGGTTTCCCCAGGGTTTCTGAGTTGTTGAAGGGGCTAGCGCAATAAGGAAAGTACCCAGACATAAAGCTTTCAAGAGTTTTTGATGACTCATAATGGATGAAGTAAACTGATTAAAAACTTGGCTCGAGTCTATGATAGAGAGAGTGGCAAGTTCTTTGAGGTTCCCAGTCCTCAGCTTTTGAGTGTTGGAATCCTTTGAAACTGGAGGATTCTGTCAAGCTCGTGTTATGGAACCGAGACATATCGCATCTCTTGTATTAGTAAGTTGATTGTCTGCAATTTCGTAGTCAATTGCATTTGAGTCCCCCATTCATGTCCACATTTTGTCCAATAGACTTCCGCTTCATCACTGGATCACGGAGTATCCGATGGGTTTGCTAACCCATATCAATATAAAAAAGATTGGCAGCACGCTCCGAAAACTTCAAATATGATTCGTGGTTTCTGAAAATTGATTCGTCGAGCGACCGTTGATAAGAACCAAACTGAGAGATGATTCAGTTGTTCTCGAAAATAGATGCAATGGTTTTCCTTCAAACTGATAAACGAAGAAATGTACGAGAAGAAATGTGTAATAGTCCTTAGGAGCCCCATACAGGGAACTATCTTAAATGAGACAAAGGTAAGGTTAGCTCTCACTTCAAGGCATTGGTTCCACAACCGCCAATGATCTGCATTACCTATCATATATAGGATAAAGATAAGGTTAGAGCATCTACAATAGGGGGTTTCAAGTCAGAATTTTTTTGTGAAACTTTTTAAAAAACGGACAAGTTTTTTAAATTTTACGGTGGGTTTTTTTTCTGCAAATATACGGTCAACAGCATTCGGGACACCTCAAAAAGGTGTCCCAACTTTTTTAAATTTACGGTATATTTTGCAACATCGGACAACTTGTTGGACTGTAAAATACCGTAAATTTATTGACTTGAGACCCCCTAATGGCCCACCTATTGTGCGGGGCCTTGCACATTTAGGGGGTCAAAATGCAAAAACATTTTAAATTTTGATCAAGAGTCTCCAGATCTTGGGGGCCTGTAGGAGCTCTTGACACCACGTGCACTCATCATAAGTACCAAACACACATAAAAAAGGAGGACCCTGGAATGCGCCTATGGATGTATCTGATGAAACCCGATTTTTGGTTTTTGGGTGCTACTCTACACACCACTACCTGCCTCGCAGCCCCAGACACCTAAAAAGATGCGCATGGGACAGGACTATCCAATGAGCCTGGTCGTAGACCTGTAGCGTTGCTCAGTTCGACGGAACTTGCAAAGGTGCAAAAATAAATTCGGCCTCCAAGGTCCGATTAGGACCTTCCAAATATGGGCCTTTTTTGGCTGTTACATTGAGATATCTCAGAAAGTATCAGAGCTACAGGGTTAAAAGTTAGTGTAGCTGAAAGGCCTGCTTCTGGCGCATTGTTTAAACTCCTGTAGGTTGATCAGTGAAGTGAAGTTTAGTGCCCAAAAACATCACCAACAAAAGGTCCTGATTTTCGTCAGATACATCCATAGGCGCATTCCAGGGTCCTAAAAAGGGATAATAAGGGGGCTCAAGTCAAAATTTTTGCGGCCTTTTCTTAAAAAATCAGGAAAAGTTTTTTACGGTACCGTGCTGTAAAAACTTTTCCCAATTCGTAAAAACGGACCGTAAAAATTTCTTTTGGATCTCCTTCTGAGCAGCAAATTTACACAAATTTGCATAAATTTACTGCTCAAAGAAATTTGGGATGTCGTATAACTTTTCCCAATTGCATAAAATTTTGCGTAAATTTTATGCAATTGGGAAAAGTTTTTTACGATAAAAGTAGTAAAAAAAATTGACTTGAGCCCCCCTAATGATGATTCTGATTCACGTGGGGGTGTAGCGCAAAAAGCGCGCCTTTTGGACGTGCCAAGGCGTGGGCGCGTATAAAAAGGTGAAATATAGGGTGGGCACTTCCCAGAACCAGCTTTGAGCTTTTTCTTCTGTTCTTGGACTTTTTGGCACTTTTCTTACACCCCACCTCCTCCAAGATTCAAGCCAAAATCCCAAGTGCCCTATCTACAGTCAAAAGTCCAATTAAAGATATGAGATTGAAAAAGATGTACAATTTGTAGACCTCAACCATCTCCAAGAATTCAAAGACAGTGATCATTACAATGATTCAGCAGAACTCAAAAATGAAGAACAAAGTGACATAGAATCATTATTTGACATCATTTTGTTCAATAGTTACAATTTGAAGTATTTACAGATGTCATGGTAGTGTGTTCTGATTCTGACAACGGAACATGGGATGAAGATGAATGCTTTATTTGTTTTTCATATTTCTCACTGATGTTTATTCAAGTAATACAATTATTTAAAAGAAATGATCATTTTGTTCTCCCTTTCAATATTTCCAATTCTTCAATTTTTTTATTTGTTTATAGGTGTGCTTTGACACCCCCTCCACCAGCATGCCTTTCTTTGGAAGTCATACCCCCACCATGTGAACTCTGATGCATCTAATATCAGAGTAAAGCATATGTAGCATTAAACCAAGGTGGTTCCACCCAAAAACACCTGAATTTGAGTGCACTGTTGTGCACACACTTGTTTTCAAACCCCCTACACCAGAAAATTGAGGTTGGGGGTCCAATTGTGAACCCTCAAAATAAATGGACCATTGCAGAAGATCCTAGCTCTTACTCCAAGCCTGTGGTTCCACAACTGATGATGAGGTGGAACCTGAAACAAAGGTGAAGAGTCTATATCTACTACAGGACATACAACTGGCATGTGATGTGCTGTGGTGCAGTTGTGTACACACACTACCTACAACAGAAATGAGAGGCAATTTTCCCATGGGGAAACTCAATTTATTCAACACAGTTCATGATGAGCCAAAATGTTTTGATTTGGCATTATATCTGTGTTTTGACTCAGAAACTGTATTGAATGTAATCAGTCTTCCCACAGGCATATATTTCTTGGTTTCCTGTGTGTCCACTTTATTGAATTTGATTCATTTTTAAGATAATGAAACATCCATCCAATATATGCATAGATAAGAGATAAGAAATCAAAAAAGAAAACACTCTTGTGTCATTCAATAAAACAGGGGTCTAATCTGGCACAGGTAGGTGCATTTCTGTGTCCTTTTTTATATTTAAACTTCAGGCTTTTTTCAACAAACCCCCACTCTAGTCCTCCAAACTTGAACACAGGAGCAGCCAATGTGTATCCAGCCCCCACATGATTGCAGAGATAACACTGAGAGGAGAATTTTGCCACTCAGTGCACACTCAGGTTCAAATTACAGAATTCTCCTCCCAGTGTAAATTGATCATTGCATGTTTGGGAAAAGGATGATCTACATGCCAGCTCATGAATACAAAGATGTACTCATAGTTTAGAAAACCAAATAAGATGAATCATGAATTATAATCTATATTGTAAAATCACAAAGCAGGAAAACTGTGTCCAGTTCTCACTTCCACACTGTGATGGCCGGCCTTATGCACAGGAGGTTGGGCCTGGTCTTTAAACATCAGATATATTTCTGGTCTGATTAATAAAATTATGTGTCTTCTAATAGTCATGAATGGTGATAATAATTTCTATAAGAGATGGGCAACAGAATTAATGAGAAAGTAATACATATATAAAGAGAATGACCAAAAACCAGGAACACACAGAAAGATTATATAACAAGGTAGCAAATCAATATGCAATGGAACCCAATAGTAATTCAAACACTATGAGGACAAGAAGATACTATAGTAGTTGTTTAAGAATAAAGAAAATACAGAGACTAGAAACACTACTACAATGAAAAGGGAAAAAACTATACAGAACTACTAAAAGGAGATAGCTGAACACACACCCACTTCATCCAACAACCCTGTGGTGGTTTGCACCACACATGACTGCACCATTCCTAACAAACTGTTACACCAATATCTGTTTCCCTCCAAGGTAAGAAGCTAACAATGCTTCCACAATGACATGCAACTCACCACAAATACTTACCATCACCACACACTTGACTCTGGCTTATCTGACATTGTGCCACACTGCTCCTCCCCACATAACCAACTCAACATCACCCACATCCCTTGAAACCATCAGAAATCTCACATTCCAAAATTTATATTGTCCTCCTCAAGACCACTTAGGCTGAAAAACTGGCATACTACATCTTTGAGACCAGCTTCTGCCAAGGTGTTTTGAGGATGCTTGTACTGAGACTCACTCAATTTGATACTGTGGTGATCAGAGGTTACTGCATAAACCTCACATTGAGATCCCATTATATGTATAATAATAAGATCACCCTTTAGTCCTAGTCTCTCACCAAGTCTTCAACAGAGTCCTCATACATCTTTTATCTGTCGAAAAACAGAATTACTCAAGGGTTTAAGCACATGTCAGCTATAGTTTGGGTTGTTGATTATCTTCTTTTCTATGGTATTTCCAATTTCCTGACTGAGTTTTGTGATTTGATCAAGAACTGACTGTAATTGGCACTACTTGCAGACATATGGATGAAATAGATATCTTTGGCAAGACAAACATATATCATTGATCCAGACTGTTCAGCTGTCACTTTTGTAAATCCTGAATGACTTTTGACATGACATCCTTCACATGAAGACAAAAGATGATTCAAAAGCTGTGATTTTTCAAGCTTAACAACCATCTGTTTTCTTCAGCACATATCAGATTTTTCTTTATCAAGTTTTGAGTCATTACATGATTAAAATTACAACACAAATGATTATTCAATTTGTTGGGAGTAGGTTTTGGCACATGATCATCCTTTTTTGAGAGACTGGAGTGTTTTTTGTGCTCAGACACAAGACAGTCCCTCACAAGATGCTGCAAGAGTGGAGAAAAAACACAGCCAGCATTAAATAGATTCTTTAGTTGGAACAAGCCTTAGGCAGGAATATGGTTGAGAGCAGGATGGGTGATAAAATCAGCTCACACTGCATATCTGAGCCATAAGGCATATGCAACATATGTGCAAACATCTGAGTGAATCCTTAGCTAGAAGCTACATACAGGGCCACTCACTTATTGGCTCATCTAGATAAGCAAATCACATGTAACACATTCTGTCACTTTGTTCAGTTTAAGACAAACATTTCAAACAATTGACTATATCAAAATGGCTACTTGGGAAATATTCAGGAAGCTGTTTGACAGTAACAGAAAGGGAGTTGGTCCTTAAGACCCGTGTTCCCATCCAAGAACTTCTTTAATGCTGGCAGTAAAAATAGAAAAACCTTGCAGCTGAAACTGGCTTTGATATCAGCTGTGTGTCACACCACATAATTCATACTTGTGCTACATAGATCTTCAATAGTTACAAGATGATGGTTAGTTTATGGGTTGAGTTGAATTGTCAAATATGTGCACTTAGAATGCATGCTGCAAGTATTTTTGGATGATAGCATATCAAACTCCATGAACCGTGATGACGTGGGGGTGATGAGCAGAGAATGTAACAGTGTGATTTTGAATGTGTGGTAAAATACAAAGGTGGGATGTGATTGTGTAAGTGAGCTGTTTTGGGCATGTTATTTCAGTGTGGGAATGAGCAGGTTTGGAGGTGAGGTAAGACAAAGAACCATCACAAGGACCAAGACCAATGGGGGGAGTGACCAGCGAAGACCTCGTAACCCATAAAATATCAGACATTGAACCCCCCCATCTCCAGCACTTTGAAGTCAATTCTTCTAGTTTATCGCACTTCCAGTGACTTTAAAGGCCTATACGATTCAAGTGTATCACCTTTACGTAATTTCATGCGAGCCTGGAGGAAACCCATAACTCTGTATGCTTGTGCTACATTCCCGGTCTCCCTTCTCAAGTGAGCCGCGTTGGGGATGTATGAACTTCTGGCATGATGGCTGCAAGCGTGGAACGTGATCAAATTAACACCATTGTGTAATCCTAAGAGAATATCTGAAAGAGACCAATCTCCTGCCATTGTCAACAAGCCAGCAAGATTGGTCGCACCATGATCCATAGACTTGCTATCAATCTTCTTAATTTTGTCAAGGTGCCTCAATAACATTTGAAAGCCGTTGCGGAATCTGTCAGAGTGTGGAGTTAATCCACTTGTGAAAAGCTGAAATTCAACTGACACAGGCCAGTAATCGGACTTGAATCTCCAAGGGTTCATGCTGTTGACATCAGTCACATAACCACCATGCAAAATCCTGAAAAGGTTTGCAAAAATATTCCATGCCTTTTTGTCTTTTGAAGGTTCTACGTCGAGTTGAGTTGCCATGTATAAAAGTTCCTCAATCCTCATCATCAACAATGTGTCATATCCTTTTTCTTCTTTTTCTTTGAGCTCTTCGTCCGAATACCAATAAGAAATAATATCTGGTCGATGTGCCATATATTCCATACTAGCTTGCCTCTTTTCAAGGGTTCTGGGGGGCATCAATTTACGTAGTTGTTTGTAATCAAGGCCATGATGTTCATGACTCATTTTTTCAATCAATTCCTTTGTTTCCGTGATAGCTTCGTATTCAATTCCAGAGAAGACCGGCCAATATTCTTCAGCCCTCAAAAGCTCCATACAACGTTTCAGATTGTCACTTGCACGTATTTTGGTAGCTTGCCAACCCTCAATCAACTTGACCTGCTCAACTTGAGCTTTGATAGATCTTTCCCAATACGATGGTAGGCTTCCCCTAGCAGAAGCGCGGAATGTTTCCCATGCCGACCCCCACTCTGCGCGCCGCATTGCTTTATCAAGCTCTATGAGTCTGTTCATCAGGTATGTGGGTACCTTCATCTCCACGTAGGCTGAAGGTTTCCCTTGAGTTTTCAAATCTTCAAGAACGCTCACTAGTTCCTCTCTCAATGGTCTCCATCTCAAATTGGCGACAGGTCTCACTTCTACAAAAAAAATCTCCGTCAGACATCCACGAGGAATTCACTCTAGTCTCTTTGGTTAGACTCTTGTAATCTCTTACCTCTTTCTTCCATCTCTCCCTCTTCAAGTTCTTCCACGGTAGGATTTGTCTCCTCGCTATCTCTTAGTTGGTTCCAAGACCAGATCTCAAGTTCGGGTTGGAGATGATCTCTAAGTACACCTCAATCAGTTTCCCTGGACTGAAGTTATCGAGGGTGAGCAAATAAGTACAGATTACACACGTTAAGAAATCCAAGCTTGACTCTCCTTCCAAAGAGCGACGTTTGATAGTAGGTGAGCCAAACGGCAAAAGTAGTATACCGAGACATAATCCTTTGAGAAAATTGAACCGTCTCATGATGAATAGAGTGGATTGATCAGGATTTCACGATTTAGATTTCGAGTGGAAAAATTCAATTTCTTGGAACGATGTGAAGTCAGTTTTTGATTTGAGATTCGTGGTATTCATCAGTTTCTCCGTATGCCTGACTTCCCGGTGTTTGCCGCCGTAGCCGACTCAGACACTTATACCGATGATTCTACTTGTTTACGCTACGCTCCCCACCGGGGATGCATCCAGGTTGATAGACTTGAATACATGAAACTATGAAATAAGATAAAAATAACATGGCGCAGTACCATCGCGCGTCCTTTATCTTGGTATCAAATCGGCAGTCAAGACGTTTGAACGCTCGGTGCTTTTATGCCTCGTACTTTATGCAACTTGACAAAACATGAAACAAAGATCACCGAGTCACATGTGGCCTTAAACTGACCCCGACGCCTTGAAGGGGATGAACAGGGAGGAATATCCAATTGCGCTTAACAAAATCTCTGAATCCGTGTAGGTGAAGCCTCTGAATTGATCCAAGGATATCTTGCGTAAGATACAAGCTCAAGACGAGCAAAAGTTGAGGCTACTTCTGGTGATTCTAAACATGAGGAGCCAGATTCCAGATGACGTTACATGGACATCGGGTTCATATTTTATACAGCTTGTCCCGAACTGCGCCGCCAAGCTACTCAAGTTCGTGACATTGATTGTATCCACTGTCACTGCAGCTCCCGAAGTTTTTTCGCGGTGCATGATTGATAAGAAACACGAGTCATCAGGAGTCATCGGCAGATACTGCGAGGTGAAGAAAGATGTATATCCAAAGCCACTACGATCTCGACAGTAGAGTCATTTACATGTGGCATCCCGCTATTGAATATTGCAGGGGCCGCCCTGAATGAGTGGATGCTGTATACACTTTGATTCGCGGGATAGACTTCGAGAAGCGACAAAGTCAAAAAAGCAACATTCTATTAAATTGATATAAAGTGAGACGATCACGCTTTGATTTTGGTAAGACTTCAAGCCCCAAGTAATTGACTACAACAAACATGCTTCCAGAGAAAAGAAGTGCTTGTATAGATGTAATTTTTTAAGAAAGCTTCACAAAGGACGATGCGATAAACAACAAAAGAGAAATGATAATTAAGCAGTATGTAATTTTTCAGGTGCAGTAGGAATACCTTCTCGCTCTGAACCATGACCTTCCCGATTGAGTGTTTCAAGACCATAATTAGAAGTATTATCCTTATTTCCACCCAATTCTCCTCCGATACTGAGCATCACTCCTATAGCATTTGCAGTGGGTGAATCAAGTACCTCGAGTTCGAATTCTGAAAACCATCTTGGGCCATAATAAACTCGTAATGGAATAAGGGTAATGATTACTAGAGGGAATCCGATAGCTGCAATTGTTTGTGAGATGGCTACCATGATTGCAAAGACAATCCATTGAATTCCTATAAATTTGGTAATTGACCATCGATTGATTCTACCTAATCCTTTGTTCGGAACGAGTGTTTTCCGATCACGAAATAGGTAAAGTGTTTTGTGAACGATTCCATTTCCTTCGACTGATGCCCATCCTACACCAATGAAGACTCCAGCAAAAAGTGCTCGAGGCATTGTTCCACTAAATCCGCCCAAAAGATCATGAATCAAACACCAGTCAAGATGACAGATGCGTTTTTGAGGCGGAGGTATTTGAACTTACATTGCTACTAGAAGTGGACGCGTCATTGTTCCAAGGGTCAAGAGGCCGATTCCAAGATGACTGACTCTCTGTTCCACAACTCGAGTCCTAACCAACTTGAAGTCTGCTATTTCCGTGTCTACTACGCCCTCTACATTGGCCGCATTAACTTGTTTCACAATCGATAGGCTCTCTGTATGTACAGGTGCTTGGGGAACAAGTCCATTGGGGGCTGGTAGTCCCAATAAACCTGATACAAAAGTCGTGATACCCAAGACAAAAAAGTCCCAATGGAAGCCTGCAGGCCGCTCGACAGGGAATTGACGAGCTTGTGCCATGAGTGAAGAGACGTTGTGATCGAAATACTGGTTACGCATCATCGAGGTCATCAATCGAAAAGAAGAAGAGTGGGCGTGAGTCAATGCTTCAAGAGAAGAAGGATTTTCTACAAGTAGTCTTTCTATGGATCGGGACGAAAATAGAGAAAAATCAAGTATGAGAATCAACTGACGAATAAGAGCGTGAGGAGGAATCCGAATGGCAGAGAGACGAAGACCCATTTCGTGGGAAGGTTCCAAAAATCGACTACCCAATTGCGATCGGCCGTCGGATACCATGAGCGGGTGATAGGGACCTTGTCTAAGTCAGCTGACTTCAGATAACCAGGGCTGACGAGGATAAAAAGATTGCGCTTGAGTTTACCGAAGATCATCATAAGGCCAGAAAGAGATGCAAAAAGACTGACATGTGAACAAAACCGGTGTAAAAGATACAGGCGAGTACGAAAGCGTAATCTGAAATCAATCTCCTCGCCCAAAGAGGTCCAAAGCCTGGGGAGAATGGCACAAGAAGTTATATTGTGTGCTTTTGATCAATAAAAAATTGTTGTAAATTACCTTTGCGTCCCGCTTTCTCAATCCAATAGACCGACAATGCAAACAACATAGCCACTACCACACTCAACCACCCCTTAGCCGAGCTTTGGTCAAACTCGCGTACCAAAAGTTCTACACCCTTTTGTATGTAAATCACTCCAACATACAAGCCAAAAGTCTCAGATGTCATATCGGTGATAAATCGCGTGTAGTCACAAAGATTGAATATCGACATTGCGAAATGAAATATAGCAGCCCATCTGAGTGAGATGGAAACGGATTGAGAAAAGTTATCGTTTTAGCATCAATCGCGAATAATGAGGAAGCATAGTAGGGACCGAGCTGAGAGTGTTTGATGAGCTCACATCAACATCCACGCCTGAAATTGTGAATAGTTGACTCCGTATTTTTTGACAACGATATCCTGTGAGTAGAAAAGTCGCCCGAGGAGTGAGAAAGTACCGGGCATTAGGTGATTCTTTAAGCAATGGGTAGGATGAAGTCGAAAGGGGAGGGTTGTACATAATCGGTGTAATTGAACAAGTTAATCAAACCTGTGACTCCCACTATCGTGAGGGGTTGGGCGCTAAAGAGGGCGAAAGTTATGGCAGCGAGTGCACTGGCTGAAATGTACCCTCGTAGTTAAGTGAGTCCGTTGTTTCATGCAAACTGAGCTTAGAAATAACGGAGGAGACCTACCCAGAATGACTACATGAGCAGATGTCAGGATGGTTCGATTTCAGGGTATACAGTTGATAAGTTGCCATCATGAAACATGCTTACCCTCGTTTGTACCATAATATCCGTTAGTTCGATCGTTCATATCCAGCATATAAGCAAGAGCTGGGATCCTGCATTTTAAAGTCCAAAAGCGTTCAAGTAACGTCAACGGTGGTCGATTCAGAAGGTATAATCGGGATTGACGCATACAAGTTGATAAAGTACATTCGAATCGTCGCGGTAATGACCTGAGGAAGATTATCAGACCGAAAACTGATATTGAACAAAGCTATTAGACTATGGCAGAGCGGCCTGATCCTTGACGATTTACTGACCCCAATGTCCAATCACCTTGACATATAAGATAACACCAAGCGATGAACGGAAAGAGGCATTTAGCTCAGACGAATTACTCTGGATAATCGGCCAAATGAACATCTTACTGGGATAGAGCGGTATCCTCCGTTTCAGGTCATAATACATTCCTCGGAATGGCTTGTACTGATACATCGTAGTCCTTTGGCTCCAAGGTATGCCATCCTGATGGAGTGTGGGTGAGCCTTCGGTTTGATTGGGTTTGGGGGAGGACATCGTTGTTCCGATAGACGTTCGGATCCAGATGACTTGCGTTAGGATGAGTGAGGATGAGTGCTGAAGGAGGATGCGATCCAAATCTAATCAAAGGCGAAGGTCGTGTGAAACGGTGAGCAAAAATGGCGTCGAAGTGCTTTTCTTGATGACTTTCCTCGGGTCTCGCTGCGAAGTATTTTTCATTCACTTCGACTTTGAATTTGAACAGCCATCATGTATGGATCCTTCGCAGCAACTGATCTGATCTGGATAGAAGCACACTCAATCCTATCATGGGTGAAATATGTAGCGATTCGTTTGTTCGTGAGCCTGGGTGAAGCCTGGATGAGTCTGTACAGTCTGAGAAACTCTAAATATGAAATGTCGATACATATACAGAGTGCAGGTTGTGATTGAGAGAGACCCTCCTCGTTTATGCATCCTCTGGATGCGTCCACTCATCTATTTCAATCAAAAAATGTAACCAGTTTGAGATTGAAAACATAACTTGTATAGGTACCACTCCTCATACAAAATGAAATCTAAATGATCTGATTGCCACAACAGTCACGTAAAGAACACAAGATCGAGGCTTAATTGAGTCTCAGGATGCAAAGAAGCTTGCAAAACTCACAAAATCCATTTGTTTTGCTTGTCATTGGTGTGTTGGCAAGCAAGGTCTCTCTACCGAGAACTTCTCCAATTGCATTCATCATACCCCATTTCTGAAAAACTTCAAATGTAGGGATTGAAGCAGAGAATCGTGTTAGGGCAACAAAGAAAACATCAACACACGGAACAAAAGACTGGAAAATTAAGAAAAATCTCACCTCGCCATCATTGATGGTAATAGTATAGTAGCAAAAAAACCCTAGGAATCTGCGCCTGGTCTCTATTTTTGTCAGAAATCTTAAGCAGCAAAAGTCATATGCTGACCTTTTGAAAAACTCACATCGTGTCAGTGTTAGAAGCCATGGACATCACTGGTTTCTGGTGCAACTGCCAATTTGGATCTTGTCAGCAAGCAGCTCACAAGGCCTCTTAAAAACTCAAGGAGGCAGATTTTCTCAAGGTTGATAACGGTCTCAGTTGGATCTTGATGTACTGGAAGAATCTGATTGTATCGGTCCATCTGGGAAACATAAGACAATTGGCTCTGCCCTACTTGAAATCACAGGATGTTAAAGAAAGTTTATCCTGGGATGATGGGAGCTTCTGCGCAACGTGAAGATCCCAGGCAGATTCAAAGGATTTTCATGAATTGGGAGGGTCTGCTGAGGGACACACATGGAAGCATACCCGGACAAGCCGGGACTGATTATCAATAAGGACCAGGCGCAGATTCGAGCGATTCGTTACTATTTGAAGTACATTAGAGTGGTTTTTGGCTTTGGTATCAGCAGGAAGGTTAAACTATAGGACGAGTGACAGCCTTGTGGATGTCACTCAGTCACCTATCTAATCCCATGCCTGGTGTTTGAGATACCTCGATGACATGCCGATGATTGAAACTTCATCCTGGCTGCCCGATTTCACCTGCCCCCTTCTACAAATCCTCTTTTACATATTTCAAGTGGGCAAACCCATAGCTATCATTCGTGTCATCTGGGTGAAAGGCACCTTGAAAGCCTCGATTAAAGTGCAGATGAGCACTTGAATCCAGTGATGTGCACTCTAAACCAGTCTCCAAATAGAAAATAGACTGGTTTTTGACGTCCTGCGCAGTTTTCTCATCACGAGATAACAGAAATAGCGATAGCAGAAAAAGGAATAGAAAAGCACCTTCCTATTCCTTCACTAACAAAAGGACTGGCTGCGTAAAAGCCCCCAATGCTGCGTTTGCCCGCGTCATCGGCTGTGTAGATGACGTCGAGCCTCACTGAAACTATAGGAGGCTCGACGTTTTAAAACGAATGTTAAAGTTGATCGGACTGTGCACGACGTCTAAAAGTGGTCCTTTGTCTACTTTGCAAGCGAAAACGTGAAAAATCTGGTAAAACGAGTACCATATCGACAAAATAGTAATAACGAATCGCTCGAATCTGCGCCTTCTCTCTAATGCCTTCAAAGTCACATCAGAGTCACGTTCTGCTGCGGTCCTGCCAAAGAAGAGTTGTCGATGATTACTCATGGTTCACAATGAGCCGGACAGCGATCACACCCAAACTCGCAGTGCCATTTTATCAAGGTAGCTGGAGAGACGGAGCTGAAATCGAAAAAAGGCAAACGCTCGGAGTACGTGACCTTCTTCATACATTCACTCGGGCAGCCGCAGCTTGGTCAAAAGATCGACGAGCATCAATTTTCTCTGGAACCGCTCAATGGCATGGGTTTATTCGCATATCATTATCTTCTTCATTCAAGAGTCATTGATTGAGATATGATGGCATGGTTTTATTCGCATACCATTATCTTCTTCATGATGCCAATAAGGAAGATAACGTAGTACGAATTATATGTGTTTCTATTTCAGATAAATACGGGTGTTTCTCATCTTCGACTTCAAAAGTCTCAGTTTCTTTATCATCTCATTCTCATTAGTTGTCATAGATAAATCCCTCAAGACTCATAGATATAGAATATCTTCTCCTCTTGTTCCTATATTTTGGTACCGTTTTCATCCGTCACATCAATTTAAGTCTAACTTTTTGTACAAATTCAACGTCGAGTATGTATAACAACGTACAACAAATGATCTTGTTGGGGTTTTTGCTATTTTGTATGGCAAGTTGTCGATCTATCCAGCCTAATTCTGGGCATAAGCAAAATTTAGAGCACCGCGCAGCAACTGCAGTTTCTACATTACCACGCATGAATGGAGTCAATATCGCCGGATTAGAATTCGGCATCGACACCAACGGCGGGAAGAGTGGGAGCTATGTCTCACCACCACTTGACCAGATTCCACATTTCATTACCGGTAAGGTCAACGCCCTTCGATTCCCTATTGGCTGGCAATACATTCAGGTAAATGATGTCTCTGACAAGGCTCGTAGTTATAACATTTGAATGGTGTTTGATACAATGATTGTTCTTTTTTCTGTTTGTCTTCATAGCCGACAATCAAAGGAGCGCTGGATCAAGCCTATCTTACACTGTTGGATAAGTATGTGATGGCAACTACAAAATTGGGGGCATTTGCTATCATTGATCTTCACAACGTGAGTGGCGTACCACACATTTCCAATTCCCAGGCCCGCTTTCTGTTTGACAGTACCACTTATACATAAACTTGTTTTCTCTATCTCTTTATCAATCCTAGTACGCAAGACGCGACGGAAAAGTTGTTGGTCAGAGTGACCTAGGTGCAGACACCTTGGTGGATCTGTGGACTCGGTTGGCAGCTCATTATAAGGATCAACCAAAAGTATTGTTTGGATTGATGAACGAGCCTCATGACTTGACTAGCTCAGTATGGTTTGGAGTCATTCAATCTGTTGTGACCGCAATCCGAAAGGCGGGTGCGAATAACAATATTCTTCTTCCTGGGAACGCTTACCAGCATTTGGCAACTTTTGCGAGTGATTACAACAATGGATTATCTGCGATCAAGAACCCAGATGGCTCGCACACAGGACTCATTTTGGAGATTCATCAAGTTAGTTTTTGTCTGATTTCTTGTGAGAGAGTTGATCCTGATCTTTACCCTTACCGATAGTATTTCGATCAAGATGGATCCGGGACCAGTACTCAATGCACACAAGATCACATCGCAGAGCTTCAATCTGTTGTTACTCTATTAAAGAATGGTGGACGACAAGTATTTATAACTGAAGCGGGTGGTGGTAACACCAAATCTTGCAGTGACATTGTATCGAAGTTTGTCACAGCAGCCACAAAAGTAAGCTCACCTCCCTTCAAGAACTCTATATAGCATGTCAAAGTCTCAAGTTGATTGTCTTGTAACTCATAGGCATACCCTACCGTTGTTGGAACCTTGGTTTGGGCGGCGGGTTCCTTTGCTGCGGTATGTCCTTTTCTTTGCTATTAGTATTGTTTTGGTGCTTTGCACTGACTGGTCGACCTTTGCAGGATTACCCTCTAGTCGCAACCATCCGAGTGGTCAGTCAAATGTCATCTTGTTTCAATTTTCCCTTTTGCTGACCTTACTCTTCGATATGACCCAGGGCAACAAATTGGTAGACCAGTCGACATTCAACGCGTCAAAAGCAGCGTTTGCGTAGAAATCTTCGAGACGCTCGAGCATCCAGATATGCGAACACACGTCCTCTTCAGCTTTCTTTTCACCACCGAGTCGCGCGCACCTCTGTACATTTATTGTGTATTGATAGTATTCTACAAATGATAAAGAATGTACTATAAAGAATGTACTCTTTCTCTCCTGAGGAAACCAAACCACTCCAAATATTTTAAATATCTTTTGAAAGGTATGCACGGCAAAGCATATAATACGCAGTAACAAGACCTTTGTTCCAAAAGGAGCCGCAGCAGGGTAACTGTGTGTAGCAATACAAACTTGCTTCCCCTTCAAGACTTCGTCTCTTCACATTGCCTTTGTTTCAAAACTTTGAGATGTAGTGGAGATATGTGATCACATATTGAAAATCGAGACTTTGGTTTCAGAAGCATCTCATGAGTCATCGCAACCTTGTGTCACCGACCACTCTTGTTGATCCAAGGCCGGGTTGTACATGCATACATATCTCCGCTTCAGCCTTCAGCAAAGAACACCTCATGGCGCCCCTGGGCAAGGGGTAGGTCCTGATAGGTCTCATAGATGAAAAGCAAAGCCTTCTGTTCTTTGCAAAGTTATCCAAACGAAGTTTACTCTGGGATATGAAAATCAAGATCGCCATTGTTTTGCTTTCAAGTATCTCTCAATGATTTTCATTTCAAGAACCCTTGCACCAAATTGTCGATTTGAGAAAATACATAGTAGAACGAATTCGTTTTCCATGCCCTGCAAAAATGAAGGTTGATATCGATTTGTTACGTATGTGTTGATTTCAATAGGCGCGTTTACTTTCACAAGCATGCAATTGCCCTCTCAAGAGGGGTGGTCAACTTACTGAATATTTTTCATTTTCTTGTTTTGGTAAGAGATACACAGTTGGAATAAGTCGAATTCCGATGCCAATCTACCGCCATGTAGTGATGAGTTGCCTGCAGGTATGTAATCGATTTCCCCTTCCAAAAAGATGAGAGTTGAATGAGAACGGTAAAGAGCTTCCGAATATCTACATACCTCCTTTTAACTGCGGTTGATCGCCGAGCCCCGAAACATATCCACCAGATCCCACATACCCGCTCTTCTTCCTACTGAATAAATTCAGTCAACATTGTTCTTAAGATATAGTTACGAACTCTTCCCCAGAAAGGAACTTCGTCTTCATGATATCATAATCTCAAGGGGAATTTCCGTCTTGGTCGTAATGGAAATCTCAAGAATTCATACTTTGATCATGATTCCAAGTTCCAAGTTAAGAGAGCGATACTCACCAAAGATGAGTCATGACTTGTGTGAGTTGCATTGGAAATCGTACAACGACGTGAGATTGAAGAATTCCACATGATCGTGATGATTGTTACCGAGTCAGCGGTGGTCAAGAAATGCCCAAAACGGATTATGATGATATCTTGGATCTCCCCATTTCCCTATCGACCATCAACCATCGTTCATCAATGTTCAGTACATTTTGATTACATCTTCACCCTTAGCATCGATTTTGCTTATATTTCTGATATACCCAATCATCCGGATCCTTCCCTCAACTCTTCGACTTATATCGAGTTGAACAAACATTCAAGCCACAATATATCAGATATTCTCAGTATTGTAAGTCTTTTACAATTAGTTCGTCATCTGTTTGTTTGCTTTTTCTGATGGATCTTAATTGATTCCATATATTGATTTGTTTGTCTTCTTTTACTTCATCGTCAAAGCCCTTCAAGAAAGTTCTCTTAAAGCTTCTTCTGTACCGAATCTCTTAAAAGTATAAAAACACTCTCTATTTCACCTCCCCACGTTCATTTTAATTAATCTACTGTTGGGGGTTTTCCGTTTACCAGAAAGTCAACTTGAGATCTTGAAGATATATCATCATACCCCGATCTTTCCTCTTTACCTTCGTCGGTGAATTGCCTTTTTTAAAAATCCCAGTCGGTTTTGGTAGTATCAACTTAACCGGTAAGCAATATTACCTCAATCATCTTCAACTTTTTTTCTCTCCTACCTCTCTCGTCTTCAAACGTCCTTTCTCGAATCCTTACTCGGACTTGATCGAAGTAACTCAAAACTAATTAAATAACGATCAAAACTTATACACATCAACAATCTCACCAATTCCCTTTTCAAGCTTCTCTTGGTTGTACAAATCCAGATTGATTACCTTTTGGATCAAGTTGAAGTATCTACCTTCACATCAGACAACACAACATTATTTCCAATTTCCGATATACATAATATCTCATCGTTTTACAAGGATTTCATCAATTAATCGCCTGCAATCATCACAATCATTATCAAGCTTTGTTTCGTTTAAATCGTACTATCTGATACTCATCTTACTTTGAATTTTACCATCCATCATCACAGTACAACATTATCCGATTTAAATCCCTTGACTGCGCCCCTGCATCGACCTCTTTGGACCGACATTCAAATTCGACCTTGCATTGATCCAGTAAGGCCTGGTATGTATCGCTTTTTCTAACTCATTCTTGCTGGGCATCTCTTTCCCTGTACAAAACAGTTTGTTTGGTCTGGTATGACTCGTTGTTTGGGTCATGTGGAAGTTGCGACACGTTTACCATATCAAATGTAACGCTTGTCAATTCTTTTTCTTTCCAATTTAACTCAACTCGCTTGCTGTGCTATTGTGGACATTTAAGGCTCGTTTCATGGTTCCGTGTAGCCCTAAACCGATCTTGACAACCTTGATTTCCATCTTGTTGAGAGCTCTTTATATAAAGGCTTTGTTTGGTCAGATTGTTGGAAATTTTCGAATTCAAATACATCGCCAACTTGTCTCATTTTCTTTCTTGACATCTCCTCGTCTTCCTTTCTTTTCTACAAATTCAATTGTATACTCTTCTTTCTTTGATTCCGTTAGAGATTCCGTTACAGGATTTAACTTTATCAAATTTCAATCTTTTCTCATATCTTGTTGGAGACATTTTTTTTCGTATAAAGCTTACCGATCTGTTTCACCCACTTGAAGTTCATCGCCTCATCATTATTTTTTCTGGAGTCTAAAGTGTTTGAGATTTATAAAAACCTTGATCCCTGAGAATCCTTTAACGTATCTTAGATTCCTGAAATTCTGATTCCATCCAACTTTGATTCCTTCCTCGACTTTTCTTATTTTTACCTTGTGTATGCGCCTCGTTTGCTATTGATTGGCTTCTAACATCAAAAAACACTTTCTTACCTTCCCTTTGACAAAGAATCTAGAATCATCTCTTTCGTTTTACTTCAAACAACACTTTCAAAACCTCAACCACTTCACACTCCTTTGTATCTATTCGGAGATGCATTTCAATCAAAGTCCTTCGCTTCAACTTACCTCTCTGGTACTGATCACCCTTTGTCCGATCATTTTGAGTCTACCAAGTCCTGTATTCCAACATTCCTCGTCGCATTCGTCTTATCGTCATCATCGAAGGTTCACCCAACCCAAGAACCTCACCAATACCGATGACGCTACCACGGACATGTCATCCGGACCCGCATCTCTTCAATCACCTCAAAATCTCACTTCATCATCCGAGCAGTCGAATGTTCCCTTGTACTCTTCAGCTCCTACTACCTATACACCCATTCAAGCCGATGAGAAATACGATCTAACTCAAGCATCGACATGGGAAGAATTAGAACGTATGGCTGAGGCTCAAATTTCGGCTTCAATCACTACTCTGCCTACTACAGTTCAATTAGAAGAAGTGCCACTTTCTGAGGACGATTTCCTAGAAGAGTGTGAAGATGAGGAGGATGATAATTATGCGGATGTCGGCTCAACAAACTTATCTGACGCTAACCCTGGTGAAGATAATAATGGTCAAACTTCTTCTGATTCGATTGATGATTGGACCGAAGTTCCCATCAATTCTTTTGCCTCACCTCTATCACCTTCGAAGAGCCACCAATCGAACGGCAAGGATGACTCCGTGGTGAAAGGCACGACAACGGCCGCTAGTCAGAAAGCCGATCAGGACGCCGCTTCCAAGAAGGCTAAGGATGCCGCTGCTGCAAAGGCGTCTCAGGACGCCCAACAAGCCCAAGACCAATCAGATGACTACGCAGCTCAAAAGAAGGCTAATTACGCAGCTCAGAAGAAATCAGATGATGAAGCAGCTCAACAGAAATCGGATGAGGAAGCAGCTCAAAAGAAATCAGATGAGCAAGAAGCCAAGAAAGAAGCCGACGCGAAAAAGAAAGCCGATGAGGAATACGCTCAGAAGCAGTCCGACGAAGCTGATGCTAAACAGAAAGCTGAAGAAGAACAAGCAAAGAAACACGCAGATGAAGCTGAAGCTGAAGCTAAGAAGAAAGCTGATGAGGAACAAGCAAAGCAGAGTGATGCCCAGGCGGAAGCCAAGAAGAAAGCCGATGAACAAGCAAAGAAGGATGCCGCCGCGGCTCAGTCCAAGGCCGATGAGTCGAAGGATAAAGATCAGGGCTCAAAAGACGATGGAGGTAAGCCTTTTGTAATCACTTCTTCTCTCTGTAAATCTTGTTCTAATGACACCGATCGGACTTGACAAATTGCACAGATTCTGGATCTTACACTGCCCCTGCTGATTCCAAATCGGGTGACGCAACATGTTAGTAATCTTTCTGACTCCAATTGTTCGTGCCTTGACGCTCATTTTGACTCCTTTTTACAGATTACGGTACTGGTCTCGGTGCCTGTGGAGTCACCAATAATGACCAGGATTATATTTGTGCCGTTTCAAAATTATTATTTGATACCTTCCCAGCACCTGGTGGAAATCCTAATCTGAATGAGTAAGTGACTTTTTCGTATAGGTTTTCAAATTATCTTGCAATGTTTCGTCGGTCACTGATCGGCCAACTTCTTTTTAGAATTTGCGGACGCAAGATCCATGCCACCTACAAAGGAAAGACGGTCACAGTGACAGTGACAGATCGATGTGAAGCTTGTGCTGTACATGATCTTGACTTTGCACCAGCGGCCTTTGATCAAATTGGAAGCCGCGATGAAGGTAGACTTCATGGCATGACCGTTAGCATCTTTTACTCCTCCACTCTTTCTAAATAAATTCATCACTGATCGATTGTCGATTCCCCTTTTGATGATAGTGGACTTGGGCTTGAAAGTTCCAAGTTTGATACCATGATAAAAACGATCGATCGAACGTCTTCCAATCTTCAATCTTTCATCATTTCTCTTCATATCTTGACTTGATGATCGAATATTCCCATGTTTCATTTATTTTGCCTCTCCTTAACTCTCTCTCTCTCTCTTCTATCCTGTCGTTATTTTATTTCTTTTTTATTCGCTAAAATCAAGTTTGAGCATTCTTCAAGATGAGAAAAGAGTTTTGAAACTCTGATCTCTCTTTTCTTTTTTTTCATTCATCTCTTTTTGGGTGGGCTTGGGTCTTTACTCTTACTCTTGAAATATTAGCTTTTTGTTTCAATTTATTTCTTTTGGGGGTTTTCGTTCTCAATCAGTACTCGCGTAGCAGGCCTTCACAATGTTTTTTTTTCTTTTCGTTAGTTGATTTGAGAGCCTACAATTTCGTTTTTGTTTTGTGATGTTTACATTTTATATTTTTATTTTGTGACTTTCTATAATCATGGCTCTCCTGGCAAAACCTATTCAGCTTAGTTCTGAACTTGAATTTTATCTTTTTGATATCCTTTTTAGTAAATCAGTCTAGTACTTGAATATAACTTTTACCTTTGTGGGTTTTCTTTTGATTTGAACTTGATCTTTTTTTTGTATTTTGATCGTTTATGATTTTTGTTGTATTGTTTTTTGGGGGGGTTGATCATAAGAAATTAAGGCAAAAATAATTTCTTCCAAGTTTTTTATTTCAGCTTTTCATCTCCAGCGATTTGTTGCAAGTGAGAATGTTACAAATGAACACAAACTTCAAACAAAGAAGGTAGATTTTGTGATCAACTTTGGGATAAGTGCAGCGAAGGCATCTCATGAACAGCAGATCAGTAGGGCTTGCCTTCGAGCTGTCAACTCGGAAGTTGGAACACACGTACTGGTGGTTTGTCTATTTATCATCATCTGGTGCAACTAGTTCTGAACTTCAAGCTTTATCACTGAAACCTTTGAAACAGTTGGCAAGTGATTCCTCCTTTCCAATCGTTTTGTGGTTGATATAATTTTGATGATGATTGTGTTGGTACAGAGTAAATTCCATGGTCAGATTAAGCTCCACTGATCTTCAGACCAGGATTTGTTGGATACATACCAGGAAGGGCCTCAATGTTATATGTGTGATCTCTTTCCAGGATTTGAATTTTTTTTAGGAAAAGTACTTTGCTCCAGGTATGTACTGAGTCTGTACTCTCTGTGGGTGAATATGTTGATCATTGTGAGAGGGGATTGGGATAAACTTGCATTGGAATATGAAAACTAAGATAAATATCATTCTCTAGAATGATTACATTGTATAATACATTTCATTGATGAAATAGACTGATCAAAATGAGGAATGAACAAATGACCAAGACTGAGAGGGCCAATCAAAAAGTGAAAAACAGTAGAAATTTGTATATAGAAAGATTACTCGAGGTCTATTTCTGGGTATGACTGATTCCTGGTCAAAAGGAATAGTATTTGTGACCCTCAATCCAGTGCAGTGATTTGGATACTACTGAATCCATTAGTTGGCTTTAGAATGGGTGAGGATGTTGAGATCCAGGAAAAAGAACAACTTGTGATCAGAATATGTCATCAGAAGCAATGTTCAGAGATCTGAATTCATCATACTCACCCTTGTGCCCAAAAGATATGCTTCTGAACACATCCAGGTGAGATACCACTTATCAAGGTTGATTTTTCTGCTTGTTTGAAAAATTCACATTCAACTGTTCTATCTTTAATTTCATTTTGAAGTAAATTTTTCATATGTTCAGAACCATTTGATGCATAAGATTTCACTCCAATCATGTATTCAAACAATAAAAGCTTATCATCAGGCCTTTTGGTCAACCTCTTCTCTTGGAAGACTACCATCAATGTGCTGAGTAGGTTATTGAATTGAGAATGATCAGATGGCGGTGTTGTCCACTTGATATCCTGGTATTTCTCAAGTAGTTCTGGCTGAACAATATTTTTCTCTAGTAGCATATTTTCAAGTATTACCCTTCTTGATGATGCAATAATACTGTTTCCTGGATGTAGGTAAATTCAGATAGTCAGACAAATTTACAATTATCATGAAATTATATTTTGCTTACTTACCCAAGTGGAATATCAGATCAAAGAAGTTTGTCTTTGAGTACACTTCTGGGTTAAGATCAGGATAAACAGTTTTCAATATCTTGGCCAAATTCAGTGGGACTGGTGATAACCTCAAGACAAATTCTTTGAATATTTCATAAAGGTCTTGCCTTAGCCATGCAGCAGTTGACAAAGCGTACAGAATTCTGACACCAGCATACCCGGAAGCGCGATTCAGCTCTGATAACGCGTTTTGGAAATCATCTACTTTTAAGGTTTTAAAGTTCTCAAAGGGCTTCAAGATCGATGGTGTTTCTGATAGCCTAGAAATACTTCTCAACTTCCAGACGGCTCTAGTGAACATTTCTTTCTTCCAAAACAAGGGATTTTCAGAAAGTTTTGTAGCCTTCCATAATTGTTGTTCTTGTGCATGAAAGACCCAGATATGATCACAGAAGATATGATCTGCAAATTCTTTTTCAAACTGAGTAGAGTGATCATCAAGTATCAAGAGTTTTATATTTTCAAGCAGGTTTTTTGAATCACTGAATTTCAATGGTACTGAAAGTCGCAGTAAATCATCATGGATTTCTTTTATCAATTTTGTTGGAGTGAAGCTGGGATTGCTTTCAAGAATGTCCATCTTAAATTGATTGATGATTTTGATCCTTTCCAATGGTTCTCTCAGGACTGTTTCGTTCAATCCTCATCAGCAATACAGCAACACCCAGATAAGTAGGGTATTCACCTTGATTCGATATATTCATGTCTTGATGGCCATTGCGGGAGTCAAACATATGTGCGAGTTCAGCGTCTATTGCTTTTTCTTGCCCTGACCAAATCATAAAAAAGGTTAGCGATTCAAACCTCCACGAGGTCATTTTCTCTCCACTCACCTGTAAGAAGGGAAATCTCAGCTTCTCCGCGACTGACATGATAGCCATCACGAAAATCTTTCAAGTAGAATCGAGACTCCTTTGAGAAAAAGGTCTTGATGCGTAACAGGATTCCAACAATCCACAATCGCTCTCTTGGCTTCAAAGAAGATTCTTCTAAAACTTCAAGTGCTTCATTTATACATGGAATCACAAACTTCTTCTTTGTGTTGGTTTCCCAATCCAAACTTCGTCGTTCAAATAAATCTCCAAAATTCAGAATTGACTGAGCTAAAGACTGAAGATTTTTGTTCTTTTCTTGTATGATTCGAGTAGCAATCCTTTTATGCATGTTCAATGTCTCGATTGAAGGATAATATCGGAAATCATAAAAATTATCAGATAAGAAATTTATAAATTTTTCCTGACTTGATAGTTGAATTCTTGATCCCATAAGTCCAAACTTAGGGGCTCCTCCTCTAGATTTGATGTCAATAGAGTTGGCATCAATACTATGAGTGGGAAATCCCAAGATACCAGAATCTATCGCCACAAACGATGAATCGTCACCTTCTGCTATAAGCAGTGGCTCTATCAGAGAACTAGCATGCGTTGGGATGGCATTAGAGGTGTAAAACACACTCAAAGCAATCAAAATAACTAAAATCTTTTGTCTCATATTTGTTCAAGTGAAATAGTATAGAGAAATGAATATAAATGACGTTGATAATGGAAAAAGGGATTCTCAGGAAGAGTGGCCTTGTGAATCTGATAACACCAACTCTTACTGATAAATTACCGCCAAAAGATCTGATGCTTCTTTCTAGATGCACATCAAGAGTATATACAGATCAGATGGAGATGTCCATAGTTGAAAATTTCAATCCCCAAACTTAAAAGATGATACATTCATGCAGTGGCTTTCAAAGGAAACTCGTCCTCAACTTGCTTGTTTCCAAAATGCCATTCAAGAAGCAGATAAGAAGCAAATGTCATAGACATATGAATTCATTATTCAACCCCAGACAGCAATCTTTCTCTTCATACCCAAAACTCATGATATCATTGAACTTTTTTATGTACATGGCATATATCATGTAACATCTTTCATGATCATATCAGCCAAGGAATACCACTGATAGAACATTACTGCAAGAATCAGATGATCTGCACCACCCTAACCTTCCTCGGCCTCGGATGGTGCTGGGGACGTTACCAGATGAGACAATGCGGGATCACTGAGAGAACGGTCTCAGTCCCGGAATTTCTATGAGCGGTGACTGGAACGAGTTGAAACTGGCCAAGCTACCTTGCTCTGTCTCACCGAGACCAAACCCGTTTCCTCTCGTCCCATGGACATTCCGGATGTCAAAGACCGGGTGAGCTGCGTTTCTGACACAGAATGCCTGCTGTCGATTTGACTCCGATCGCATCCGATTACTATGTATCTGAAACAATGTGAATGCCGTCCTCACTGTCCTGTGTGCGAGACTGAGGTACTTTGTAAAAATTTGCCAACGATGAGAGGTACAGAACCTCAGCCACTGAAGAGCTTTTATATATGTCATGGAAGCCATTTCGCTGCGATGAACTTTTTGTAGATCTGTCTTTATTCCATATAATTACGGTCTCATAGACTTCAATTTCGTTCTTGAGACTCGATCACACTATCGGCCGCCTCCGTTCCGGCCAGCAGCTTCCGAATGAATATACCGGACCAGCCGAAGCAGCTCAAAACCTGATGATCAGCTTAATAACTCGGTCAAAGGTTCGACAACGAGGAGAGGTACAGCTCCTCATCCACTAATGAGTTCCTCTCAACTTGATCAAACCCGTTATAAAGTTATAAGATAAGAAAGCAAATTAATTACATTATTACCAGCTTCAAAAAACAAGTGACCAAAGGTTAAGGAAACCCAGAAAAGAGACCAGATTTTTGTTTCAAAGATGTTGGTACATGGAAAGTCAAGCCCATCGGTTAATATCTTTGAAAGAATATTGTCAAAACCTCAATATTTGGTTCCAGTTACGTAAAAGGGCCTGGTATTAAGTCGTTGAGTACTTGACTTAGGTACTTAAGTACTTAACCTAAGTATTTGAGTACTCAAGCACTCACTTGAGTAAATATCCAAGTACAAAAAGATTGTTGTTGGTATTATTGGAGAGATCAGGATTTTGGTCTGGTGGAGAATAGACTGGTCTGCATGTAGTTTATCACACATTGAAGCTAGGTTTTAATCATGCAAGGAATGTTTTGGTTAGATACAATGTAGATCTACATCTTTTACAGCGACTACCTCAAATACTGCGTGGAGATATGTTACCTGGTATACATGGATGTGGCTGCATAGTCTCTGGTACTTGAATGTGTATGTTTTGATCAAGGGCTATAATTATCTTCAGTTTTTAAACATACATACATTCAAATCCTGTGAGTTTTCTTTGTCTTCCCAGATGGTACATTCTATATGTGTATCATATTCATCAAATAATGAAACTTCAAATATATTTCCAATGATTTAAAGCCCATCATTCATCCTCAATGTAAGAAGTTTCATCCTGGCCTCTGATAGGAGCTCAAAAATGGAACAAATCAATAGAGTGTTTCTACTCACAGTAAGCTGACTAGTAATGTCACTAAGATTGAGAGAGACAGTGATTACCACACAAAAAATGAAGGTCATCATGAAACAGTTGTAAGGAAATATGTATATCTGAATCAATCCAGATATAGTTTTGCATACATCTATAGTAGGTACCAGTAGTATACGCAAGGGGAGTAAGCAACAATCAATCACCACAATTTTAAAATGGGAAAAGAGTGGCATACTACATGATCTTGCTAGCTGAACATTGGGATCACTAGTAAGATCTAATTCCAACAAAAGTTTTATCTGATTACGTTGGCACACAATTAATTTTTATCATTCCACATATTACAAAAAATACACCACATAAAATTTCCCTTACAGCCAATTCAAGAATGAGTGACCACTTCTCTTGAAAACAGTTGTTGCTGAAATGGTCAAGACCAACCAGAAAGTGTTTTTAAAGGTTCTGTATTCTCTGTGTTCTCTCTATTCTCAAATTCAGCAGAGAAACACAACTTGGTAGAAGACAAAACCAGGTTTTACACCATGATGTACATTTCAAAAAAGATCTCATTCTTCTTAGCAAAGTCCCTGGTGCAGGGGTTTAAACATAACAAGTGGTACCTGAGGCATTCTCAAATCAGCTGTACCTTTAGACTCCAAGTGGTGAACTTGGAATCTCAATATCTAGCATCCAAACAACATCAAGTCTCTCTACAGGGGAGCTTCAGTATTAGAGGAACTTAAGTATGCTTATCCCCAAAATTCCATAACCTGAGCCAGAAAATTTTGGTCATGAATTTGCCAAAGCCTTCAAATTAAATCTTGGATATACTTTTGACCAAAAGGGTCCTTTGTGCTGCTTATAATCCTACCAGGTATTCATCAACACTCCCTCTTAACTTAAAATATGAGGGTCTGAGTTTTGTAAAGTCAGTTTAATCAGCTGAGTCTATTATTGATTGAATGGAAGACTTGATTTCTTGAACAGATCAAGAAGAAATCTCAAAATGTATCCAAACTCAAATATGAAAGATGAGCATGGTTTGTCTAAGAACAGTGGAGTACATACAAGCTCCGACCCGACCCGCATGCATACACCCCAGATAATTTCGTTCCTCATCCAGAACCACAGCCTCGGATTCTATCAAAGCAGACACGCGTTTTGGATTGATAATACCACCACGCGATATTTCAACCCAGCAAAAAACTCTAAGCATCAAATTCCAAGAAAGTAATCATAAAATGCCAAGGAAAAAGACAGCACCTGTAAAGAAAGAAACCAAACCTACACCGAAGGAAACGAAACCTAAGGCTACACCAAAGGAAACGAAAGGATCTACCAAACGAAAAATCAAAGACGTTTCACCACCACCATCCGGATCAGGATCAGGATCAGAATCAGGATTGGAAGATGATCAGGATGATGATTTTAATGAAGTTGATAGTGATGATTTAGATAAAGAAACAGAAGCAGAAGAAGACGATGACGAAAGTGAATTTGAAGAAGAAACTAAGTCTAACAAAAGAACAAAAACAAATAAAACAAAATCTGTTTCGAATAAGAAACAAAAACTTGATGATAAAGATTCAAGTTTGATTAGTTCAATCAAGTTAATCAAACCTGATCAATCATCTAAAAACATTCCACTTGGTATGATTGGACAATCGTAAGTTTTAGAAAAACTCCAATCATAAGACCTTCCCAAAAACACTACAAGTAAAATTTCAAAACTGATGATGATTTATGTTTCGAAAATGTTACAGCACAATGAATTTTTTAAGTGAATTATCTGTACCAGAAAACAATGATCGAGAATGGTTATCAATCAATGGTAAGTCCAAACTCCAACCCATCCACCCCCAAAAAAAGAAACCCAAATTCTGAAACCAAGTCACTAATCCAATCTTATTTTCAATCACCCACCCATTTTTTTCCAACACAATTGAAAAGATCAAATTTATCGATTAGCACTAAAGAATTGGAACGAATTTGTTACATATCTAGTACCAAAATTAATTGAATGTGATTGGACATTACCAGTGTTACCTTACAAAGATTTAGTTCATAGACTTCAGTTAGTTAAGCCTTTCCGCTTATTTCCCCTTCAAGTTCTGTCCATACAAACTCTAATCTTCCGGGGGGGTTTTGTTGATGTTGTTTATAGTCGTGATGTACGGTTTTCGAATGATAAAACTCCTTATAAAACTAATTTTTCAGTTGGGTTTTCAAGAACTGGTAAAAAAGGACCTTGGGCTAGTTATTATATACATATTAAAGTTTGTTCTCTTTGCGAAAAGAAAAACTCGTGACACTAGTTTTTTTTGGAAACTTAGTTTTTTCATTTCTTTTTCGAATGACTGTATAGCCTGGTGATGGATCATTAATTGCAGGAGGGATTTGGAATCCTGATAAATCTCAGTAAGTCAGAAAACTTCATTTCTTTGGTTTACTCTGTTTCGAATTGATTGGATTTATTCAATTTTTTGGGTCCTTAGACTTACGACGATCAGACAATCGATTCTAAGTAATTCCAAACCATTAAGAAAAGTCATTAATCATCCAGAATTTATTAAAATGTTTGGGTCTCATGAAACTGTCAAAGGAAAAGTAAATTATACAGATTCTTAAACCTATTCACTTCCCTGGCCTCTAATCTATCTTTTTCTTGAAATTTTCGGAAAAACTGATGATGGATTTACTTTTTTCAGTCTAAAAGATCAAGTATTTTTGGTCATGATGATGAACTGAAAAATTCTCCTAAAATGGACAACGTAAACCAATCTCATCCGTAAGTACCTAAACCGAATCATCAAATCTTTCTATTACAAAAAGTTAATAAAGTTTTTTGATTCTCATCTATATATATATAGGGAAATTGATCTACTCAAGTTGAAAACTATTGCTGCTGTAAGATAGTAAGTCGAATAAACTTTCTCAAGATATACTTAAATCAATTGATTTCTGAAGGGTATGGTGATGTTTTTTTTCTGTAGTTTTTCAGATGAGTTGGTACTTTCAGATCGATTTGTAGAAGAAATTCAAAAATCAGTTAAAGTTGAGTATTTTCTTTTACATTTTCAATGACTTACCAGATGATCAACAAATTCAGTGTTAAAAGTAAATTGATTTGTGTTTCTCTCTCAGACGCTTTCACCTTTGATTATGTGTTTGAATGAGGTATGTTGTTTTTTGATCCTATCTGTGTTTGTCTTATAGATATAAATTGATGGGATGGGTCTTTGGTTTGGGTTTTGGAAATGTGGAATTGGTTTAGATGTTAATGCCAGAAGATTTAGATGATCAAGAAGGAGCACAAGAAGAAGAGGAAGAGGAGGAAGAGGAATAATGTAGAAGAGTTTCTTTTTGATAAAATGATAAGATGAAGCAGTGGGTTCTATCATAGTGTTAGACTTGGAAGCACCTGGATTAAAAGTTGTAGATTTTTCTTTTGGTTGGTTCTCTATTTATCAAAGTGAACTTGTTGGAATGTGTGATTTCAGTTATTGTTGTTTATATACAAATTGGATTCACATCAGAAATGTAGCGTATTACAATGTGATAAATACAATTTGTGTGTGTGTGTGTGTGTGTGTAGATTGATCGAATCGAACTGGAGTGGTATGCTATGTATTAGGGTTTTGATTTTTCTAGTTGAGTGCACGGGCCACTGATCGAATTTGGGAGGTCAGTGGGGTTTGTGGTAAACGTTAAATTCAAAGGGTTTGTCTAAATTGACTTGAAATTTAACAAGTTTTTAAGATCAAAAGTCAAAAATGTCAAGTGATTGATTATTGATGATTGAGTTTGTTGTATTGAAAGTGAAATTTAAGTGATAAAGACTCTTGGTTTAAGTGAATTGTAATCTGATCGAGTTTAGACTCTCTTTACTTTACCCTTAGATTAGTTAAGCTTTACCCTTTGATTGAGTTCATTCCACATCAGACAGACTCATCCTTCATCGTCAGCTTCATCGTCACTCATCATTCGTCATTCTCCTTTAATTCCTTAAATCACGCGTTTACCTATTTAGACATTTCTAATCCTCTTTAAACTACATTAGATTTCTTTCCTTTCTTACAAAACACTAAATCAAACATGAGGGAAATTGTGTATGTGATCATCATTTTATCTTTGATTCTTTCTTCTTTACCACCTTTTTTTGATTGATTTCCTTCCCTTTGATCTTTCTCTAGTCATCTTCAAACTGGTCAGGTAAATCATCTCTTTCTTCACTTCTTGACTCGTAAACTTTACTCATCTTTAAATCCTATTCAATCTGAGCTTAGTGTGGTAACCAAATCGGTAAGTGTCTTCATTCCACTTCTTTCATTTCCGATCATTGATCGATCAATCAAAAATATCTTAATTTCATTCAATCAAACTAATCTCAACACTTTGAATTCGTTTTATCAATTTATTAGGTGCTAAATTCTGGGAGGTGGTGTCTGATGAACACGGAATTGCTACTGATGGGCAGTAAGTTTCAACTTCAAAACTTGAACTTTCGATCATGGGTATCATGTCTCTTGTGAGAAAGAGATGACTGATAGGTCATTCTTGATGACTATTCTTAGGTACAAGGGTACCAGTGATCTACAACTCGAGCGAATCAGCGTTTATTACGTTAGTCACGCTTTTCTCTGTCTTCTGGTCACCGATCAAGATGTCTCTCTCTCTCTTTTCTCGATCGATCGACTGATCTTTCAACTTGTTGACTTTGCTCATATCTTTAGAATGAGGTCGCTGGTAACAAGTATGTGCCACGTGCCGTTTTGATCGATCTTGAACCGGGGACAATGGATTCCGTTCGATCGGGTCCTTTTGGTTCTTTGTTCCGACCCGACAACTTTGTCTTTGGTCAATCTGGTGCTGGTAACAACTGGGCCAAAGGTCATTACACGGAAGGAGCTGAATTAGTCGACTCAGTTTTGGATGTTGTTCGTAAAGAAGCCGAAGGTTGTGATTGCCTTCAAGGTTTCCAAATCACTCACTCCCTTGGTGGTGGTACCGGTGCTGGAATGGGTACTCTCTTGATTTCAAAGATTCGAGAAGAGTTTCCTGATCGAATGATGGCTACCTTCTCGGTCGTACCATCTCCAAAGGTGTCTGACACCGTTGTGGAACCTTATAACGCTACCCTCTCAGTTCATCAATTGGTTGAGAACTCTGATGAAACGTTTTGTATCGATAACGAGGCTTTATACGATATCTGCTTCCGTACCCTCAAACTACAAACTCCTACTTATGGTGATCTTAACCATTTGGTTTCCATTGTCATGAGTGGTATCACCACCTGTCTTCGATTCCCTGGTCAACTTAACTCCGATCTACGTAAATTGGCTGTCAACATGGTTCCCTTCCCGCGTTTACATTTCTTCATGGTCGGATTTGCTCCACTCACTGCTCGTGGAAGTCAACAATACCGCGCCGTCACCGTTCCGGAATTGACTTCACAAATGTTTGATGCCAAGAACATGATGGCTGCCTCTGATCCTCGACACGGTCGATACCTCACAGTAGCTGCTTACTTCCGTGGAAAGGTTTCGATGAAAGAAGTGGAAGAAAACATGCTTTCAGTCCAAAGCAAGAACTCAAACTACTTTGTTGAATGGAGTATGTCATTTTGGCTTCTTTATCCGCTGCTTGAAATCACGCTGATCTCTGCCTCCTCAATCGCGTCTTTTTTTGTCAGTTCCTAACAACGTTCAAACTGCACACTGTGACATTGCTCCTCGAGGTTTGAAGATGTCTGTGACCTTCATTGGTAACTCGACTGCCATTCAAGATCTCTTCAAGCGAATCGCCGATCAATTCACAGCCATGTTCAGGCGAAAGGCTTTCCTTCATTGGTACACTGGTGAAGGGTGTGTTTATTATTTATTTCCATCATGCCATTGGTTGGATACTTACATCCTTTGGTCTCAATAGAATGGACGAGATGGAGTTCACTGAAGCTGAGTCGAACATGCAAGATTTGGTCGCTGAATATCAGCAATACCAAGAGGCTCACATCGACGAAGATGAAGTCGAAGAGGAGGCTTACGAAGATGAGGTAAGCCATTTTTCATTCACCCTCTTCTCTTCAACCCATGTGATTGACTTTCTTTTGTCATGTATGATATAGGCACCTCCGGAAGAGTAGATGATTTGAAAGGATGATTTTTTCAGTTTTTTTGATTCACTGCTTTGTCTAATCAATTTGAACCTTCATTGATCTTATTGATGTGAGACTGAAAAAAAGAAGAGAGAAAAGAAAGTACAATGAAGCTATTTGTCTTTGTGATTTTCTTTTTTTTTTAATTTGAAACGGCCAATTTTGTTTCTTTTTTGTTTGTTTTGTTTTGTGCTTTCAAGTCTTAGTTCAGCTTTTTTATATTGTCCGCACTACCTTCAAAAATCTCAAATTGGTTATTTTATCTTTTTTGTTTGCGTTCAAAGTCTGGATTGATTTGATCTTATCTTCCATTTTGCTTCGATTCCTTTTACAGGACTTGAGGTGATTTGAGATGTGATGATTGAGTTTTTCTTGATGATGAGAATAAGATTGTGCGGTTGCTCGTTTAAGGCTTCTTTCATGCCCACTCAGAATAGATCTTGTTAATTCAATAATTAGATGATTGGTACTACTTTTCTTGATGTCTTGTGAAGATCAAAGTATACACCACGGGGCAGGTGGCATGTGATGCTCACGTGAATTTTGACCCTGCATGCTGTCTACATTGTCATACCCAATGTGAGTTACACGTGCTAGCCAGTGTGAGCATCACCCAATCTAACCCCTATCATAACAAGGTGAGCATCTCACATCATGACGAGGTGGAATAACTCACACATAGGTGAGTTATCTGAAATGACAACAGTGCAGGCTTGATCACCAATGACAGGTTGAGTGATTGCCCTCAGTGCTCATTCACCTTATTTGCTCTTAATAGCCAGCCCACTTAAATTGGGATGGGCTGTTTTTTTGCTGACAGAATTGTGCATAACAGAATTCATCTACTATTTGCATTGGCAAATGCTCTTCAATACTACATACATATATCAAGCTAATACAAAAGATAAGATTGGAAGAGTATAGCCAAAAAATAGAGACAGAAAGACTCAAATAAAATAAAGTAGACCTGAAGGTGATGGGGATCTTTGTATCAAAGGAAATGATGATGTAGATATGACTGAATGTGAGACACAAAGCCAAATAGATGTATGTATTACTTACCTAATACATACAGGTGATCAAGCCAGTGATTGAACAATCTGTGGACAAGGGAGAGTCGGATAAAAAGGAAGATTCAGATAAAAAGTAGTTAGAAGAAATCAGTAAACTTGAATCATGAAGTTAAGATGTTTGAGAACAAGAACATCTCACTTGATCTATTAAGTTTTTGTAGATTGTTACTTACTTTGAAAGAAAGGAGCTTGTCTTGGGTGTATCTGTTTTGTTGAATGATTTTATTTGTTTTACTATAGCTGATCTTACTGATTCTCCTGATCTGATAGAAATGAAAAAGATTGGTCAAGGCTGATTAGTTCATTTGGTTTTGAATTGAGTGATTGTTTATTGAACTTCAGACAAATTGGCTTTGAAGTAGCATGATGAAGTTTGATTGTTTTATAAGTTCTTTTGAAATTCATACTTCCATTCTGCTCAATCTATTCTTCATGATTTTCATTTTGATTTTTTAAGAGATGATTCAATGGATTGAGATAAAGCAGAACAAACAAACCTGATATTTTTTTTTGAACTGTTGCATCTTCTTCTAAAGGTGGAGTACAGAGTAATTGAACACAGGATAGTTTCAAAGCTGTCAATCCATAGATCATCAAAATACAATGTAATGAGCACAAAGAACAAAATAGGAAGGACCGAGCATGATTAAATCAAAATGAGTCTTTGGAGAAGAGAAAAAGAGGGAAACTCACAATGATATAAGTGAATTGATATTGTTGAAGGAGACTAAAGGGCATCAATAAATATGATAGCATCAAAAGAAAATCAAACAGAAAAGATTGATGTGAAGGACAGATAAACTTACCATGATGTTATCCAGTTTGTTCTTGCAATCTATTACATTGATGTGATGCAGTTGATGAACCTTGCTATTCAAGATGCGAGAGTGAGATTTCCTGTGATTGATTGAAGTGGTGACGTTTGAGGGGGTTGTGTGCGGAACAACTTAGACGGACAACGGTGGTCAATGGAATTTGGAGAAGTACTTAAAAACCAGTGACGCCACTGTCCCCCAAAAAAAATAAAAAAAACCAAAAAAATTGTAAAGTACAAATATTGCTGGGTTCTCAAGAATTTGAGTCATCCAAGCTGATTCAGGTGCTGAGCAGCTGGCTGACAGGTCCTGCTCACACACATTGTCTCACCCGCTAATAGGCTGGTACATCACATGAGCGTAACGTGATCTTGCTGCTCACAGCGAGCTCATGTGTAGAACGGGTGACAAGCCTGGGTGAGGGCCACGTAGCCGCGGTCACACTGCTGCCAACTGTTCTACACAACGACTTGGCATGGTCATACCCAACTTACATCTCACGTGGTCCCAGTTCAAAGTTGCCCCATGGTGTAGCATGTTTGAAAAGCTTTTCATACCGTGGGAAAGTCGCCTCTTGTGAAGGAAACTACTATTCTTTTTAGAGGTTGAATGAAGGATTTGTGAGGAATCCAGATTGAAAATGAGTAACAAAATCTTGGAGAGCAGAACAAATAATTATTCTGACCAAAGAAGGCTTTTTATATATCTTTTGAAACCTTGCAATATATGCTGTCTTGGGTGATCCATTCTCTTTAGTGAGGCTCTGTCAATTCAGGCCTCATGGTAAGGTGAAACACCCTAAACTCTGCCTTGGCTGTTGATTATGGCTGAGCATGAGGGCAGGGTCTCTTTGGGGAGACGAGCACCCGCCATTGGGGTTTTGGGTTCTACTCAACTGAATCTTCCCCATATCACCCAGCTTGCACTACTGCTGCATGGTCATAACATTATAAGGTTATGTTTCTTGAGAAGTAGAGAGGTGGTGTTTTGGAAGTATGAGTGAAAGTAGATGAATGTTGTGGATAAAGTTTGTGGATCAAAAAACTCTATTCTCACTGTACAGCATCTGATTCCAGTTCTTGACTGTTACATGATGTGACATCTGCAATGTATCCCTTTCATGTCCCTCACTCTTTATAGAATCTTGTCTTGCACCTTGTTTTCCCTTTTTAGGTGCTGGCATTCACTATGACATTGGTAGCCTCAATTTTGTTCATGAAGTTTTGGGAAAGCCATAGATCCTGAAAAATTGTTGGAGAGCCTTGGATTTCGTTGTTTGAATTTCAAGTTTCATCTTGGTTGGGTATACTTTTTGTTCTTTACTATTGAAGAACTATATGTTGTATTAAATTGAAATTGACATTCTCACATGGAAAATAAATTTGAAGAATCTCTTGCACACCAAGCTGCAAAACCATTTTTGACAATGGGGCAAATCAGGGCTGTACAGTCCAAGCATGTGTCAAGATTTGTGGGTAGGCCAAGACTTTTTGAAAATACCTGGGACTACCACTGTCTTGACACAAGATACCATAGATGTGACATTCACCAATACAAGGGATATTAGGTGGCACACTTCTGGATGCCCCAGCATATCTGGATGCTCTGGAAAAGTGTGATTCACAGATCTTTCCTCTGAGGTCCTAGAAGTATTCATAGCTCTTCATAGACCTTGGAATCACATAGAGATATCACTGTGATTACACATAGTATATAGTTCAAAGTGTATGTAATTAAAAATCCTGCACAGGGCATATCTTCTTTGACAGAACCAGAGTCTTGACTTGCTTGCATTCAAGGAAAATTTCTCAAATTGTGAGGTTAGGCAAAATTGACTACAGAATGGTATGTTCCCTCATTGATCTATGTGGGACTGATCACACTCTCCTAGGGGTCTGATAGATAATCAATCTTGAGGCATTTTGATTCACATTCTTCAATTTTTGGGTACCAATGGAACAAGATGACTGTCAATGTCCATCCTCTTCAAAGCTTCACAGGGCTGAATATCCCAATTCGTTCAACACAGTCCAATCTTGGAATCATGGTAAATGAGGTGGTGAAAAAGATAGCAACAAATGCTGTGGGTATCAATCATGCAAGCTCTTATGGACAAATTGTAAGGCCTTAGTCCACAGTTCTGTGGCCAAACAGGTCTGTAACACAATTTTCTGGTGCAGTGTGCAAGGCCTTAGCTCACAGTTTGGTGGCCAAACAAGTCTGTAAAGCAATTTCATGTTGCAGTTTGCTTGTTGTCAAGCTATATAACACTCACAACATCTGTGCCAAATCTAAACACATCATTTACTTTCTATATTTCAAAATTGATGATTGTCATCCTTTGGTTCATGAACCAATTCAGATCCAAACATATCATATATGGTAGGTTTCAAGAAGCTTGGCCCCAATTTGCCACTGACTAGCTTGTGTTTTGTTGGCAACATTTATGGGATACAAAGTTAAAACTGGGAAAAAAATCCCAGTTTTAACTTTGTATCCCACCATTGGTCAAGCTTTTGTGTAATTGTATGTAATACATTATACCATATCCAACTGGGATTTATTTTGTCATAGTCAGATTGTATTGAGATTTTTTGTCACCAGCTATTTATGTCACTCATTGGTTAAGAGAATTCATAGTAATAGATCAATACTGGTGTTTTATTCGATGTTAGGCACAATAGCACAGAGAAAAGCACTCAAACGTTCAAGATTGTTAACAGTGATCAGTTATCAAGCCTGGCTCGCAGCGCCGGCGTAAGCGGGCAGCAGCGGGAAGTGCTGCGCACGGCGCTGGCGCCTCGCTGCCAGGCCAGCGGGCACCATGTGCGTTGCGCCTTTCGTAGTCAATCATCCACCAATTTATATCAAGCAGCGCTTTGCGCAGACTGACCCGGGTCGGACGTCATTTCGCTGCGCAGCGCTTTTAGCGCTTTCAGTATACAAATATACATCTTCCATGGTTCTTCAATATTCTCAATCAACATTCCCAAGACACTTCCAAACTTATCTAAGCAAAGGGCCGAGAGGGACTTGGATAAGTTTGATGCACTTCTCGATCTAAACTCAATGGATTTATGGCATTGGATCAAAACGTCACCACAAAGCTGTCTCCACTTATCAGGATGCCACGTTACCACCATTCAAAATTCAGATTGGATCGAAACAACCATCACCTTTCTCTCTTCAACCCTTGACACCTTCTTGTTTTGATCTTATTTGATTGGTATTGAACAACCTGATCTACGCCTTTCTCTCTCTACACCTTTCTCCTTCTACAGATTTTTCTTTTCAGTCCTCAAGTCTCAAGATGTTTTGAAGATCAGTGGGGGTCTTGCTGAAATTGAACATGATTCAAGGTATAAAGGTAGGCATTCCTCCCCAGTCTCTGATCCCTATCGACTATCATTTGTTATAGTTGTTAACCATTGTCTTCCAAATACTGACCCTTGAATTCACCTACTACATCCAATTAACAACATCATCAATCGTTCCTCCCAGTTTCCTATTTACACCAATAATTTCATCAATCCCCAATTGTCTTAACACTTGAATCTCCTTCGATCAGATTTCCAATCATGTTAAATAAACAGCCCACCATAGATTCTTTCTTAGCTTCCGGATACGAAAGCGATGTAGGTTCTACTGCCCCCCCTCGTCGATCTTCTCGCATGGTGACCCCGGCTAGACGAGTCCCCGGAATGATTACCCCCTCTTCCGACTCCCGACGTGGTATGGGTGACTTGTTCTCAGTCAGGGATGTCAGAGATGCCCATGTCCACCGACGCCAAGAGCGATCTGCCTCATTACCTGGCAATGAAGTCTCTCGTGATCCACCCCGTGGACGTTCAAAGACCATCTCACGTCCTTCGACATCTGCAAGTCCTTTCTTTTTCTTCATGAATCCAGTCTTCTGATAGTAACATCACTATCTATTTTTTGTTCATCTTTTGATTCAATTTCTAGGCTACTAGCACCAATACCTTCAGTCAACATTGGGCCACTGTGTTGCCAAAAAGGAGCAACGCAGTGGCAACGCACCGCAGCGGGTTTACGGGCAACGCAACACAGTGTAACGTGTTTTACAGTTACACACTGCGCTGCCCGACATGGGTCCGAGTCCAGGGGGGTTGTGTTGCTTTTGCAACGGGTCTTCCGGCAATGCAACGGGTCAGCAGCGGGGCCACAGGATTCCTGGTCATCAGCCCTCGCGGAATCCAGCTTCGTAAGCCAGGATTCCCCATACAACCTCCATCAACGTCAGCCGACCCCAACTTGCCTTATTCAGCAGTAAGGGGATGGACAACCCCAACCCCTTCCCATCGATCAAGATGTTGAAGGCATACTCTTTGCGATTCGATAGCAACCCCTTCGTCCCATTAACATCGATTCCTAGTTTTTGGTTTTGATTTTCCGGATTTCTTCAATCCCCAGTATCGATTACCCTCATCATGGCTAGCAGTCCCGGCGAAGATGCCACCAATCCACCTCCTTCTCAGGCCAGTGGTCAAATCACTCCACTTCGACGTTCATCACGCCCTCCGACTCCTCGTAAAAGCCTTCCAGGAATGGTACAGCCATCAACTGATGGCCGGACCGCTATTTCCCTTCCAACGAATTCCAAAAACAAGAGGACCCAGTCTGGATCGATTTGGACCTCATCGTGTAGGACCAAAGCTGCTCCTACTAAAACTAGCACTAATAAATCGAAGAAACGGTCCAGGGTCAGCAAATCAAACAACAACGTAAGTAATCTTGATTCTTTCTTCACGTCGATTTACTCACATATTTTGTTTTTTCTTTCTCATCCTGCCTATCATGATCAATCACAGCCTATCGATGACAATGTACCTTTGGAGACCGAAATGAATCAGGACTCTGATGATCACCTGACCCAGCGCCAGAAAGCCAAGCGTGCTAAGGTATTGGAAGGTGAAGACGATGACAATCCCGCTCAATATGATCCTGTACAGGATTATTTTGGAGAACCCGAGTGGGGACCAGATGATGTAAGATGATGATATTGATGTTTCTCATATTAAATTCACATTGTTTATCTAATATCAGTCCATGAACTGATATTTCTTTTCATTTGACAGGATCCGAACATGAAACCGCTTGTGTATCCGTGTCTCTGGTGTCCCAAAAAACCTTGTATTCATTATGACTCTAATTCGAATCTCAAGCAGCACCGTGACGGTTACGCCGTCGGCCGAGTTCAAAAACCATGCGCTGGTCGTCAAGCTGCAATTGATTCAGGAGCCAATCTTCCAGCAAGTGCTATCGATATCATGACGAAGAAGAAAGAAACCAACCAGCGACAGATGGTTGAGTTCTTTGATTCCAAAACACCACCTTTCAAAATCGAAGTCCTCAACCAGATTCTTACGGTGTGGATCTTAGCGTAAGCCCTTCCTTGGAATCGAATTGAGGACCATTTCCTCCGTGTTGCCTTTCGCTACGCTCGCCAAAACGTTAAGATCTTTGGCCAAACATGGGTGGCCAGAGAAGCCGGTGGCATGTATGTGTCCTTTCAAGACACTGTCTTGAAAGAAATCAATGTGAGTGGTGATTACTTTTTGGAACTTACGATTTCAAACTAACTTTGAAATCGAAATGGTCCCACTCTGCAAGGGCAACACTGGTAGGTTCACCCTCATTCACGATGGTTGGACGACGGCAAACAATATCCACGCTTTCTTAGGCGCGGCGGTCACGTTCATTGATGACAAGTGGACCTATCAAGTCCGTCATCTTACTCTGAAGCTAGTCGCATGGTACCACAATGGCAAATGGCTGGCACAGCCATTAGTCCATTTTATGAAGAAGCATCAGCTTCATCTCAAGATAAGTTAATTCGATTTCAATCATATTTCTTCAATGTTACTTATTATGTATCTTTATGTAACACATGCTTAGCCAGGTAACCGATTCGGGTTCCAATAATATGACCATGGCACAGGAGATGCATCTGAAGTTTCTCGAAGATGCGAATACCAACACTGGATCGAATCCGACGTCTTACACGTGGAACCCAGCGACTGAACATGCTTGATGTTTCCTTCACAAGCTTTCATCAACAGTCAAGGGTGGCTTGGTGGAACTTGGCCGAACTGTACCTTCTCGACATCAACAGCGCGAATCGATCTTGGGAGTTTTCCCCATCCCTGAGCGACTGCCGGTCATTGCAGAGGAAGACGAAGAAGAATCACACCCAAGTGCGATTGTTATTGAAGACGACGAAGATCAAACTGAAGCTGAAGAAATGCCTTTACCTGATGAAGAAGACACTGATCACGATTCCGAATGCGAAGAGACCGCCTGTGCTCCTCCGGACTATGACGAAGCTGAAGAGGACCGGTGCGATCGGGAAGATGTGAATGACATCGCACCTGAAACCTCAACCACAAACGATTTCAAAAACAACACATCAAGGAAACATGCTCTCCGTCTCAATGCGTTAATGGCCCAGGTAATCACTGCTGTATCATGTCCGGATGATCAATAAATGCTAACTGCGTTTTATATTGGGTTTATCAGGCTAACTTTATCTCGCGCCGGGTTGCTAGATCAGCTCCTTGGCGCAGATATTTCACACGTGTTGCAAAAAGCATGAATCTCAAACTTTTACCCTTGACACCAGGTTACAATGCGACCCGTTGGAACGCGGAATTCGATTCTCTTAACCAATTGGTACAGGCACGTAAGGTGGGTAGCGATTTTGACTTTATCCTTACTGATACATCTAATTAGACCAATTTGTAATGTCCCATTTATTAGGTTGTTAGCAAGTTGCTTGCGGACGACCTTGAGCGTGTCAGAGCAAAGTCACGTCGTATCAGGTTGTCTCAAAAGCCGCGCGGATACTTCCATGAAATCTTCTTCACTCCCGACGACTGGGATTCACTCGAGGAATTAACAAACGAGCTGTCTGTAAGTCCTGCTCATGTGATACGTGATGTGCACCTCCTGGAGTGATTTGCTAACTCAATTTTGAATAGCCTTTTCTACTGTTGACTAAAAGAATGGAAGGAAATGGACCTACAGGCTCGATGGTGATTCCCGAATTCTGTGCACTCAAGCTGCATCTTGCGAATCGGGTAAAAGATCTTCAAGTTGGCGATGCACTGCTACCCATGATCATGTCAATGCAAGAGCGAGTGGAACAATATCTTCAAGAAGCTTTGGCTTGCGACACAACGGTCATGGCAAGTCTTTTAAACCCTTTCTTTCGCCTTCAGTTCTACGAGCAGGCATTTGGACCTCAGCACCCCCATACGATCCGCGCTGGTACACTCTTGCAGGAGAAGTTCGCACAGCGTCAGAAAACGATTGGCTCACCACAGACTGACGTACCAGCATCAACCTCTGACTCGAATTCAACTACCTCAGCGAAGACGAGCTCTGACGTCAATGTGTTTCAGCTTTTCAAAGCTCAAGAGCCTCAGGCACAGGTAGATGAAATGGCTGCTTACCTAAAGGGAACACATCCGATGTCGGCTAAGGATGATGCTAGGGAATGCAACGCCATATTACCATGGTGGAGTGTGCGTATTACTTTCTGGCTTGAATCATGAATCGCTTTTGCATTATCATCGTTAATCTTTTGTGAAAATCTTGGTAGGTCAATTGTGTTGTTTTTCCAGTGCTGGCATCTCTGGCAAAAGACTATCTAAGCCTCTCTGCCAGTTCGGCCATAGTCGAGCGGACATTCTCTGCCGCAGCAGACATTTGTTCATCAGATCGAGTTCGTTTGGTCCCACGTACGATTGAGCAAAACGTTGGTTCTCGTCTTTGGGCACGTCAAGGGGTACGCCTAGGTCACAAATACAAGGAGGTAAACGAGGCAATTGATGCATTTGGGGGTAGGCAAAAAGATACAAATAATTGAATACAGTAAAGTGGCTCTATTTACAACTGTGTAATGAATAAATAATCCCCACTCGTCATATCATATCTTGACTGCTCGTTGCCCGTTGCGACTAGTTGCAACGCAAGCAACGTCCGTTGTTAGCAACGCAACACAACACGTTCCATAGTTGCCCATTGCGTTGTCCTATATGGGGCCAAATTTTGACCGTTGCGCTGCTCAGCAACGACCCGTTGCGCGCAGTGCAGCGCAACGGCCCAACGTTGCTTCAGTCGAGATCGCTCCCGCTCTGTATCAGATGGCGGCAAAGGATCGTCTTCTACTTCAAGGATCATTGCTTCAAAGGGCAAGAAGAAGAGCCAAGCTGTAAGTGACGCTTTTGTTCAATATTTGATTGAAGAATCTTTTTACTGATCAATTGATTTTCTGGTCATTGTATTCAGGTATTGATCGAAGCCGGTCCTCCTGCTGTAGACTTGCAACAAGATTCAGACGAGGAGAACTTGCGCATCAATAAACGCAAACGAAATCAGGATCCAAATGCCGAAGATGAATACACCAGTCCTTTTGATCACTATGGTAAACCTTGGCATCTCCCTAAAGATGTATGTATCATTTTTCTTCATTCATTGATCTCTCTCTATCAGCCTCTTTCTGTCACTTGATTTTTTGATTAATCTGTCATAATCATAATCATGTAACATGTTAGCTGACATTAAACATTATTGTAGCCAAAGGACCAACCCGGATTATCTTACACTTGTCTCTACTGTAACAAGGATGTCAGAGTCAGTGCGAGCTCTCGATCAAACCTCAAAGTCCACCGAGATGGAAACCCTGCAGCTGGCAAGTCTGGAGCTGGCTGTCCTTGTCGTGGCCTGGCAATAGCGGCCGGTGCCAAGCTTCCTCCAACTGTCGACGAACTGCGTATCGAACGTCTTCAGGAAGAACAACAAACGTCTCTTGCTTCCTTTGTCCTCTCGCCACCTAAGTTTTCAAATCAAACTTTGAATCAATGCCTTTCTGTGTGGCAAGTAGCACACGCATTGCCGTTCATTCGAATTGAGGACCCAATTCTTAAGTCGATTATGTATTGGTTATGCCCGGACGCCCGTGTATTTGGACGAAAGTGGTCAGCCGAAGAGGCAAAGCGGCTTTACCTTTCACTTCGTGGTTTGGTTATTGAGAAGGAGCTCAAGGTATGTTTTTTATTGTTTGATTTGTCTAACTTGCCTTGCATTCTATATGTTGATCCTCCCTCTTTTTATCTCTTGCTGCGGCCCACCATTTTATTTTTGATTTCTCTTTGTACAGGAGTTAGACAGCAAGTTCTGTCTCATTCAAGATGTTTGGACCGTGAAGGGGAATCTCCACGCTTTCATCGGAGCGTCTGTCTCTTATGTTACAAAGGACTGGAAATATGTAGTTCACCATTTCAGTATGAAACTCGTGGCGTGGCATCACAAGGGTGACTTGCTTGCTGAGCCAATGGTCACATTATTGAAAAAAAATGATCTTTATAAAAAGATAAGTAGTTTGATCTTTCATCTTCCACTTTTCTTTTATTTTATTTGATTTCATGTACTAATACTTACCCAACTATTACATGCTTGCTAGTGTTTCCGATTCAGGAAGCAACAACTTTACCTTAGGTCGCGAAATGCATTGTCAACTCTACGAAGAGGGGATCAGATCAGGACACGATTTCAGCTGGGAACCCAAATCAATGTCAATACGATGTTTCTGTCACAAGATGGGATTAATTGTCAAGGCAGGGCTTGATGCTCTTGGAATGAAACCCAGGCGCATCCGCCACGATACCTTGGGTAGGTTTCCAGCAGTTGAATTAATGGCAGTTATAAGTGAGGAGGAAGAGTCGGATGGCCTCAAGTCCGGATCGGAGGAAAATGAAGATATTGAAGAAGACGATGACTTACAAACACTACAAAAAATGTCATCTTTTCTCATGAGACTAGAAAAGCCCGGGTGGCATAGAAAATGTCGGTCCACACTTTTCTTTTCTCACTTGACTAGTTTTCACTGGTAGATAGCATCTATGTCTGTGCCCGTCCCACATACATAGGACCCTAAAGATCATCAAGCGGCAAAGTTTTCTTTGCTTCCAGTGTAATTTATCCAAAAAACAGATTGGCAAAAGTGGCTCACATATATTGGTTATATCTTCTGAGACTCGCCCGACAACTCATGCTACACATGGCTTGTTTGATTTGCAGGATAATATCCTTGTTCAATGGCCAAGTCATCTTATTCAAGAAACTCTTGGGAAGGCCGCTCTTTTACCATGCCCTCCTCATTTCCCTACAACTCGCCAGCAGACAGGCTTATAAATTTATAACATCATCGTCTTTTTCCGAATCAATATAGCGATCTCTACCTCTGTTGATGTCCTTTTTCAACTCTTTTTAAACCTTGCTGTTGCTGCGCATAAGCGTCTCGAAATAGTTTCCAACAATCGTATTTGACTTTATCTCACTTTCTGCTCATAGTCTCCAAACGTCTCATGACCAGCAGGATGCATCCAGCCTCAAAGCCAGAGGTGTTCGATCCGAGTGCACCTGGTGTTGGAAAGCAGATGATGCTGGATTGGCTACAAATAAATTTTCCATTGATTCCAGTCAATGGTCAACTAAGTAAATCCAAGATAGCCGAGACGGTCCGGGAGCAGCAGCCTGAGTGTTCGTAGATCCCATTTTCAACTTTCAATCATTGCAAATGTTTCTAACTCTCATTCAAATTACATATCTCACCTCCAACGTATCAAGTCTTTCCGGATCCTACAAGTTCATCACCGCCCCAACGATTTGATCAAAGCGGCACATCTAGCATGAACAATCCAGAGGAAGCAAAAAAAGACAGTTCCTCTAGTACGACTTCCATGCCACATCCTTCCGCTGTTTCTTCTTCTTCTAAAACTGTCAAGAAGGACTTGGGAGCCCATCCACCACCATCATCAGTTGCTCGTTTGGCCAAGCGATCAGTGTCAAATGAGACAGACAAAAACTCCAACAAGAGATCTGCAACTGGTACTGTATCTGAATTTGAAATCATGAATCCCCATACTTCACGGTAAGCTAATGGAACGATTGGCGTCTTCTACAACAACAGGGTCCCGTTGCGTCTCAAGTGTAACTCCAAAATCAAACAAGGTATATGAGCCTTGTTCCCTATCTTACCTACTGTGACCAAGTTATGCTGATGCCGAATCCAAGACCTCACATCGCTCAAAAAGCACAAAACCCACAACTACAGACGATGTTGAAGTTTCAGATGATGTTCATAAAGTCGAACTGTCTGGATCCACACCCCAATTTATCAGCTCACATTTGCTTGGGCCAGAAGGAGCACAGTCATTCATTAGTCCTGATCTGATCCCTCTTCAACACATGAACAAGTCATCTTTTCGTCGTATTCCACCAAAATCGCCTTGTTTGAAGACTCAAACTAACGATCTGGTCGATGTGGGCCCACAAAGTGCTGTTATCCCAAGTGTTACCAAGGTGAAATTCCATCCCGACTTGATTGAGTTTTCGGACCTCGATCTCTTTGAGACTGAAAATACGGGTGAGCTGCCTTGTCTAAATCTTCCGCATTGTATTTGGTCTGATTTAGTCTGACCTATCCCGCTGAAAAAAACAGAGACAGAGCCTGTCATACCTTGCCTTACAAACAGCGGGAAGCAAAGGTCAGGTGTTGATATTTTCTTGATGGAGCAACATCGCAATGACAAAAGTAAGTAAATTCCGCCTATCTTCTGATCTTATATCTCCTTTTCAAAGCTTGATCCACATTTGTTTAGTCTTAGGTCTTGAAACAGCTCTATCCGAATTGAAAACCAAAATTGAGATGACCGCAAAGTCAGATATTGATACAAAGAAAGCACAGCAACAAGGTACAAGTCGTCATCATCTTTTCGCCATAATATCGAAGCTGACCCCACCTGCAGATGATCTACTCCAAGGACTCAAAGCCGATGTCGCACACCTCAAAAAGAAGAGTAGGACAATTGATCAACTAAACGACAAAGTTGCCAGTATGGAGCAAGAACTCATACACCTGAAGGAAAAGTTAGATGAAGCTCTCTCAGAACTTCAAAAACAGGAAGAGATAATTACAAAGATGATGAGCTTATCAGATTCTGAAGATACCGCCTCTGAGTAAACTTATGGTTCTAGACGTAAATCTATTACCGAGTCTTGGGAAAACAGATTTTACTTTTCATTTTGTTTCCATGATCCCGTCATTTCTATTATATCACCCTAAATAGCTATGAAATCTTAAATGTTACACTGAGCTGAAACTTGATCAATCGAGGAGCATACATATTCTCATGTACTTTGATTCAAATCTGCTCTTCCATTGAGATCTAAAAGATTTGTTCATTGTGTCACTCTTTAAATGTCCAAACCACTCTGACAGCGCTACCAACACAATTCTTGAATATTGACTTAATGCCCTTGCATTTGCTAGGGGATCATTATACAAATGAAAGAAGATGATCGAGCAACAAGTTCAGATTTGCCAAGTATTACAATCACGCTTGTCCTTGATCATAGGTAAATACAAAGGGGCACAAGCCACCCTGAGTGATCATTTGGATCCCCGACAAAGGAAATCATGAAACCCAATGGTATTTTTTTAATATGATGTACTCGTTGGATGTGTCGAGGTGTATACAAACATAAGATCAAGTTATGAGGCGGTAATTATTATGTCCTTCATGACATCCTCTTATGATGACTTTTCTATTCTCAGAGTGTATCCTAGTAATGAATCATAAATCTGATGATTGATACGTCAAACAAATGCGTTTGAGTTGCCTAGTCATGACAACCATCCCATGAAAGGACGTCTTGGTGCTAGAAGACTTTATATTTTGGTCTTTTAGAAGCTGATCATCAGTTCACACTTTCCGTTTCTTCAAATACTTGTGATTTTCTTTCTAAAAAACTATTTCAAGCTTGTTTTTTTTGAAAGCATCCTGCTCCAAAACTCATTGTCTTCAACTCTTTGTTTTTTGAAACCTGATGATTTCAAACCTTTCAATTCTTCAGAGAACTGACCATTTCAAAGTCTCTCGTCTTTTGAATTCCTTAGCACTTCACACTCTTACTTTTTTAACATATTTATCATTCCAAACTCTCTCGTTCTTTGAAAAACTTATCGTTTGAAGCTTTTGCTTTTCTCAACTTTTCATTTCAAGCTTTTTGGATTTCCCCAACTCACCGTTAAGATTTTGATCCTTTGAAACCTTATCATCCCAAGCCTATGTTTTTCTAAACCTAACATTTCAAGCTTTTTATCTTTGAAAAACTTTACATTTCGAGCTTTTTGTTTTTGTAAACAGCTCACCTCAAACTTTTCGTTTTTCCAAAACTTATCATTTCGAGTCTTTTGTGTTTCAAAAACCTACGATCTTAAACTTCATTTTTCAGAACCTTGTGATTTGAAACCAAATCTTTGGGCATCTACTTAAGAGTGGTAACAGCTACTCAGAGATCATGGTCAAAAAAGTGATACCTCCGCCTTCGAGTCCACCAAGAAAAGCGGTTTCAAAAAAAAGAAAGAAAGACGAATCAGGTCCGGAAATCAGTAAGCCAAGTCTTGATCTGATCTACATCACTTACAGACTATTTACTGATGAGTTCTGTTATCCAAGACCAAACTGGAAACAGCACAAGTGCTATACAGGACTCGTTAAAGGACGTTGGAGTTACCGTTGGAGTTAAAACTCAGAGGGATTGTTTGCTTGGATTACTGTCTCGGCATGTGATACGGAAGAAGCCTCGAATGTCCAAGAGGCTAGTCCCAGACATCACCCCAAGATGCAAAGACAACCGATTTGTAGAGGCCCGCGACATCGAAATTCCCAGTCAGCTATCCGATGAGGGTCCTAATTATTCTCTATTTTCAAACCCCGACCTTGTGGAGATGATTCGTGGTGTGGGACTTGATGCCACTGATTTTGATCGCACAAATCTCATCAAGATGTGTAAGACATATAGTGAATTGAGTAAGTTTGTCTTCCTTCGTCCAAGAATTGAGCTGGAATCTGACGTACATATGAGCATGATAGTTATCATTCCGGATCACCTACAGAAATTCTCCTTCGAGTCTTCAAACACATCAGAGCCCAAAGAAGGTCAATATCTTGTCATGTGCTGAATATAGAGACTGTTCTCATTTTTACATCTTCGACTGCTTAACCAGACTCGAGTCGGGATCAATCCCAACAGCCTGTGGCAGGACCATCGGTACCCACAATTCGAAGTTCAGAGCCCAAAGAAGGTCAGTAATAGTATCATGTAATGTGTACAATCATCAATATAGGTACCGTGTTCTTACTCTTACACCTTTGATTGCAGTTCCAGACTCGAGCCCGGATCGTTCCAAATCCCAACAGCCGGTTGCAGGACCATCTGTATCCTCCATTCGAAGTCTTAAGAACATCCGCTCAAAGAAGCCTGGAGTGCGCTCAATCAAAAAGTCGTTGCCAAAACCAAGAAAATCAGGAAAGGGCAAACTCAAAGCACGTGGAAGCGATGACTACACAACATCTCACTCTGGAAGCGATGACTACGTACCATCTAACTCTGGAACCGACAACTCCAATCCATCAGACACCTACATCAGCGAAGCTAGTGATGATGAAAATTCAAATACCAGACCCAATACTTCGCGCGACACTTCCAGGCCCAAAGGAAGGCAGAATAGCAAAGGCACCTTCACCCTTGATAGCGTACTTGAGTCTGGAGAGTCTCTGGAAACAAACTCAATTCCTGAAGCACGAGATGGACCAGACGATTCGAATCCCAAAAAACCATCAAAAAATGAGTCTGATAAGCTAGAAACTGGAAGTGCGGACTGGGTCATTCAAAGGATTTGTGAGTGCAGTTTCATATATCTGTTTCTGGGTTTGTTTGATCCTCAATGAGGCAGAAACTGATGCCTGTTTCTATGTAGATAAGCTCGAAGCTCACATAGCAAGGACAGACAAGAGACTTGAGGCGATATCAGAAAAGTTTGATATTTTATCTGACATTGTTGACAAAAGAATTGGGACATGCTCTCCAAAGGGCAGTGGTACTAAGTCACGCGGTGGGCAAACTTCAGTCAGTTGTTTTTCTATGCGCTCAGTCTTGAATCAAGATTAATCCTTTAAATTGGATTAGGCTTGGATACGATTCACATTGAGACAATGTTT